TTTGGCTAGTTCAGCATAAAACGTTTTTCCCAAGTAGGTATTTTTAGAATTTGTGGATTTTCCCAAATTGTTTTTAAGTTCATTTATTATTTTAAATATCACCAATGATGTTTAAAACAATTATCTAACACAATTTTACTAAATTATTTTTCTTCTTCTTCTTCTTCTTCAAGTTGGGCGGACTTACGGCTCAACCACCGCCCTTTTGGTCGTGGACAAAAATCCTTATTAACCAGCTACTAGTTTTAACGTCCAATGATTTCAGAAGAACCAAAAACCATTGGACAACGGTTGTCTAACAAACACGTGGACACAAATAGGTTATGTAACCTTGAAATTTTAAATGTTCATATAAATTCCTCTATTCCTTTAAAAAAGGACAAAACGAGGAATATTATCTAGGACTGGAATCCGGTTTTGTCCTCCCTGAGTCAAAGTCAACTATTTTTCACACTTTTTCATGGAGCAATGCAGGAGCGATACGCTTCTCACCGAGGACAAAATCGAACTCCTAAATTATTTTTAGTTTAGTCTGCGACTTTTAGGTTATAAAACTAAGAAACTCCCTGTCCTAAAAACATTTATCGCTGTTCAGAAAGATTCAAGGTCAAGACTCTCAACATATGAGAAACGGAATACCCTTAAACATAGGTAATGTTTGGCTTGTCGTTGGGTGAACATACATGTTAAGAAATCGATGTTTACGAACAGCAAGAAAGGGAATAGGCCTCTTAGTGTCATGTAAACATATACGATAAAGGGCGTTTTAAAGGTGGGAGTAGAAAAAATGATTTCATTGCTATATAATATTTATATCACGCCATTATATACTTAAATTAAAAATAACTTTGGATTAAGTAACTTAATCGGCCATTTCAAGCGCGCGAAACGCACGAATTACAAAACTATTTTTATAAAAAAAATTGTAGATTATTTATCAAATAATATTTTGGCATCAAAATTGGCAAAAATATTCTTCTTTTATTAGGTTATACATTAAATAAAAAAAAACTCAAGAAATATTTTATGAAAGTAGATATAATTTTAATAATTGAAAGGTGTGGACGGGACAAAAAAAAGATTTATCTTGTCCCGTCCATCCCTGTCAATTATTGAAATTATATCTACTTTAATAAAATATTTCTTGCGATTTTTTTTATTTAATGTATACCCTTATAATAGAAGAATTTTTTTGACAATTTTGATGCAAAAATAATATATAATAAATTAGCTACAATTTTTTTTATAAAAACAGTTTTGTGATTTGTCCCTTCCATCCGCTTGAAATGGCCCTAATCCAAAGTTATTTTTTGACGTTTTTTTGACGGAACAATGACTTAAGTAAGTGACTTTTATTTTGTGAAAATGATTATTGATAATAGATTTAAAAGGTTTATAATAAAATAAAACAAGTGGGTACTAAGAAATTAAAATTAATATAGACTATTAGTTAACATCACTGTTTTGCTAGATATAAGGTAGTAAAATGATAAGTGAGCCATTCCACGCGTGACGGATGGAATAGTTGCCGTGTTTTTATTTACAAAATAATGTTGTTCTATTGTATTGCCAATGTCAAATTTTTATAAATGGTTCTAAACTGGAGCTGTTTAACAAGGTTTTTATTTGGCAAAATTGGGTATCGTGATTGACTGTCCAATTCCTTAAAAACTAATAATTTAAAGCGTAACGGTCGGGACTTTGCAATAGTCCCGACCGTTACGCTTTAAATTATTAATTTTTAAGGAATTGGACAGTCAATCACGATACCTAATTTTGCCAAATAAAAACCTTGTCAAACAGCTTTTGTTTAGAGCTATTTATAAAAATTTGACATTGGTAATGAACAATATTATTTTGTAAATAAAAACACGGCGGCTGTCCTATCCGTTAAGCGTGGAATGGCCCAAGTGATAAATAAATACTTGTAATAAAGTAATTATTTTTTTATTCCAAACTTGTACAAGGGTCCAATCGTCCAATCAATTAGGAAAAGTTCTTATCAATAAAGAAAAATCCTTATCAATAAGGAAAAACTCTTATCAATAAGACATCACACAAATTACCGGTAAATATAATTATAAATTTAATCAATAAAAAATTCGAAAAAAGTAAAATTATATCTTTAATTATTAATAAGGCCCGGATTTTTAGGTCATGAAAAAGTGATAAAAGGTTCCTAAATTAGGTGATTTTTTTAATAAAATAGGTTATTATTTTAGGTACCTATATTTTAGGTACTTAATTAAAAAGTTAATATTGGTTGGCCCGTATTTTTAGGTTATAAAAAAGTAAAAAAAATGCAAAAAATAGGTCACATAGTTATAAAATTAGGTTATTATTTTAGGTGCCTACATTTTAGGTACTTAAATAAAAAAAAATTAGCTGATTTATTGAAATAAAATGTTTTCATTATAATGTCGATATCGTTTAAAACCATACATAGGTCTTATGTAGTTTTAGTTACATTATAATTGCTCTGTTAATGTCCGGCAATAAAGGATTTAAATTGAAAATGAAATAGTTATTAAAATAATATTTATTATTAACATTAACTGAACAAAAATGTTTGGTTGGAAAAATAAAAAATAACATAAAAGATTCTTTAAAAAAGTAAATATATCATATCACAAATAATGTAAAATAGCCAAAAAAAACATAATAGGAACTCTAAAATTACAAAAAAAAGGAACTCTAAAATCAAAAAAAATAAATTTTATTAATTTATTTAACGATTATATGACAGACAAAATATTTCTCCAAGTTTCGCCCTCGGTGGTGTAGTAGTTAGCACTGCGGACTACAAGCCGAGTGGTCGTGGGTTCGAATCCCACCAGGGGTATGGCTGTTTATTTGTGTTTGTCATTGTGTACTTCTGTAATTGGGCATGGTGCTTGTTAAAAGCACATTAAAAAAAAAATAAAGAAAAAAAAATAAAAAAAAAAGTTTTCAGAAGTAAAGCTACCCAGCAAACACATAAGTCTGGTAATGTAATGGCCCATTACAGCATTTAATGGTTAAATGATGGCATTTTTAACCCAAGCTGTTCTTGTACTGGGCCTTTACAGGAATTTTTCGTTAATAAATGTCAATTTAGACCAAAGGCTGTCGTGGTAAGGTCTTGCAATGGCCCTTTTCAGGTAATGATATGTATAATTTAACATTAAAGGCCCACATATGGCAATTATAAGTATCGTTAATGGAACTGTAACACACCATTACAGTGCCAAATGTTTTCCTTTGCTTTACACCATATTTACTAATGAATTGCCTCATGTTAGTGGTATTATGCATATGCATATAGAAAAATAATATAGGTCTTGAGATATATTAATTAATTATCTAATAGGTGTATTTTATAATTAATTATTAATGAACTAAACAACTAGGTAGTACCTTTTTCAAGTAAGTATTTTTACTGTACAATTTTTACATTAATGTCGTACTATTTAATAACCTATTTTAAAATTTTAAATCTTCTTTTAGTGCACCATGTTTTGAATATTTAACCCTATTTAATTATCTCTATTCAAAACGAAGCTTTTTCTAGAAAAACTTGCAAATTAGAATCCCATTATAAGACCATTCCTACATGCAGTGCACTGCAGTCGTCAATGATTTAGCAATAGAATAGAGATCTCTTATGCATGTGATTTAGCCATATATCCATTGTGCTAAAAACTGAACTAGAGACTGGAAATGGAAACTGTTGAAATTTGATTTTATTTTATAATATTTGTTAAGTTTTTTTTTATTTAAATATGTTATGTTATAATTATGTTTAAATTACATGTATTTTATAACACATTAAACACTTTGTATTTTTTAATTTTTTGAAAGTTTTAGGGACATTAATGAAATTCCATGATAACGAAATTTTTGTAATATAGTAAAGTACCTATCTATTATGGTGGATTAAATTTGGTAGGTATATATTTATTAGGTCGGATATTACACGATAATCGGGAATTTTTATCCCTACCGTCAAAAATCGGTCGGGATAAAATATTTCAATTATCCTGGAATATCCGTACCTAGTAAATATATAGGTACCACATTTAATCCGACATAATAGGTACTTTACTTATCCATTAAATAATATTTAACTAACCACTATAGAATCTTTAACACCCCATATAAGAACCTTTAGCTTGCCACATTTGTACCTTTAACCTGCCATATCGGAACCTTTACCGGTTCTTGTAAGTGTCTTTATCGACTGCCGTCACATGCCCATAAAAGGTGAACGCGACATAATATGTAGAGGTCCATTAAAGTCAGCCTTTATAGGGCCTTTAGTTTATTAAAGGCACGCGTTTAAAGGGCCATTACAGAACCTTTACGGTTGTGTTTGCTGGGTACATTTTTAAACCAAGAGAATGATCGTTCAACGTCATAGCACGGGTAAAAAAAAGTTCATTTTAGGTATTAAAAATACAATTTAGGTGCAAAAAAGGAAAATAGGTCAAAAAAATATAAAAAAGGTATTTTAGGTCAAATAAAACTTAGTCAGATGACTCAATTTTTTATAAAACGAGCAAATACAAAAAAATATCTTTAAAACCTAAAAAACCAACAAAAGGTGTTTTACCTAAAATCCGGGCCTTAATTATTAAGCACATATAAATTGTAGATTGGCCACAACCATAATTTAGAATGACTATATTTATAACCGTGAATTTGCTCCTTACTATCACGCAACTAATTTCTAATCGTACGTCTCTAATGTAAAAAAAAATTATAAACTGTGTTTAATATAAAAATTTAATTATTTTCAATGGAATGCCAATAACTTATATTCTAATAAATACAACTTAAAAATAAGATATAAAAATAAAAATATTTACAATGCATAATAGAGATAATTTAACAATAATTAATCAACGTAATTAAGCGTTCTAAAGTTTAAGAGGTTGATTTAAATCTTTTAAGTTTTTTTAATATCGATAAATACCTACTTAACACGTTTTTGCAAATTCCCCAACCCAATTGTATATTCTCGCAAATATGTCAAAACCACGTACCTGTATACAATTATTTACGTCACTGACTATTAAAATGGTCACGCATTATACATATATTGGCTACGGTTTATTTTAATAATCCCGTGACAGTTTTAACCAAACTTTAAAATAATAAGTGTTAGTTGAATTTTTTATTAAAGGAATGTAACTAGTGAAATACGTGTCAGAAAAATGGAGTTAAATATTAATTTTAGTTTGGTTTTTGCCGTTTTGGCAGGTAAGATACAAAAAATAAATATGTAAACTGTATAACAGTATTATTAAATTAAAGCAAATAAGGTCGTAAAAAAATTATAAAAAAAACTAAAAAACATAAAATAATTCTAAAAGTTAAAAAAAAGCCTAAATAAACAAATTGTAAAACCACTTTAATTTTAAGATCTTAAAATTAAATTAAATGTAGAAATTACTAGGGTTTTGAAATTTCCGGAAAAATTGAGCCGACGCACCTTAATAATTGACCTAAAGCCTTGTTTTTCATTTTATTCAGAAATAAATGCTCTACAAAAAAAAGTATTTTATAGTTTTTTCGTAAACCTAACTCTCTTAAAATGAATTAGTCAAAAATAACTAGTCATATTTGACTAATTGTCATAGCGAAAAAGCAGTCACTAATAATTAGTCAAATTCTACTGAATGAAATAGTCAAATTAGTAGATTTAAATTTTAAAAAAGTTTTGACCCAGCCAGGGATTGAACTCAGGTCTGTCACTTGTCAAGCTGTTGTCATAACCCATTCGGCCTTATAAAAATCAATTTTATTTGTCAATTAATATTGTTCATAATATTTTAAAGTATATATTATTTGTGTTGCTGTTTTGAGCTAAACTTTTTGCATCTTTATTTGTTTTTATGGATCATTTAACCATGGAGCTTAGGTATATGCATTTAATTTAAATATTACTTTGTTGTTGGCCGCAAACGATTAAAGAAATTAGTTACTTTTAACTCTCAGAAATAGTCAAAGATGGTGACTAATCTTAAATTAGTCAAACTTTAACTATTTACGTAGTAAAAAATAACTATTTAAAAGTGAAAACGACTATTTTATTAGTTAAAAATGCTGGTACTAACTGGTACGAATTTTGACTATTTCATTTTTAGAGAGAACAATTCAGGTCAAAGTTTAGGATTTTAAAATAAGTAGGGCATATTTTTCTTAAAAATTAACTGATCTTTAAAAACTTTTCCTTTGGTTTTTCGATAAATGTACTCTCTAAAAATTATTTAGTCAAAAATAATCAATTTAATAGTTATTAGTGGCTGCTTTTTCACTTGTACCATGGTTAACCATGGGACACCCTGTTATCCCAAAATTGAACAGCCAATTCTTATGTAAAAATTTAATATGAAATTGACTATATCTCAAAAACTGCTCTACTTTCATAATTTTTGACGGTATTTTCGGAATATTATTGACTCTTGGAAATCATAGCATCAATTTAATTTGTAAATCTTATCAAATTAATTTTTTTTCTTCTTGTCTTATTAACAATCAATTTTTTCATAAACCAAGCCGCAATGTTCTTTCCAATGGGTTTAAAATTTAGTTGCATAATCTAATTATAATTATTTTGTGGTTAACAATTATTAAAATAACTAAAGGCAAAAGTAACCAACCAATTCATTGTAAAAACATTATGTGGTTATATGTATGTTATTTAAATGTTGTTAATAAACAAGGTAACGAATCATTAAGCAAGAAAACCACTAAATTAATAATTTTCTTTAAAAATATTAAGTGTTCTTAATCTTCAGTTGCAATTATGAAGAATTTCATTCAAATACTTATGTTGATTCAAAATTACCTACTAACATTTTTTTGTCTTGCTTTAGTGGGGCTTTTAGCTATAACAGGGGACTCCACCTTAACCTGGACTTCGCCCATGTACCCAAAACTCTACTCGAACGACACCAAAGTGAACCCGTTGGGCAAACCCATCACAGAAGAACAAGACACGTGGATTGGTTCTCTTATAAGCATCGGAGCGATGGTTGGCCCATTTCTGTTTGTTCATCTAGCAGAAAATTACGGTAGAAAATTGGCGCTACTGTGTATAGCAATACCACACATAACATCCTTCTTAACATTGGCGTTTGCGAAAAATATTTATTTGTATTACTTCGCAAGATTGCTGGGAGGTTTGTCTGAAGGAGCCGGTTATTCAGTAATGCCGATGTATATAGCTGAAATATCGGAGGATAGTAATAGAGGGATGTTTTTGAGCATGTTGAACTGCTTTTGGACCTTCGGGAATTTCTTTCCTTACGCTATAGGGCCCTTCATGAAAGCTATGTGGTTCAATGTTGTGTTAGCTTGCCTACCTATTACTTTCTTTATTACTTTCCTATTTTTCGCCCCGGAAACACCCTATTTCTACGCGAAAAAGAATAGGTTTGATGAAGCAGAAAAATCACTGAGATCACTCAGAAATGTTGATGATAAATTGTTGAAGATTGAGCTCGAACACATCAAATCTAGCATTGCCAACGAAGAGCATGGTTCTATCAAAGACATTATTAAAAGTAGACCTCTACAAAAAGCCTTGACAATCAGTGTGGTGTTAGTTTGTATACAACAACTCTCAGGATTCAATGCTATAGTATCATATCTGCTCATCATATTCAACTCTTCAGGAAGTGCTATACCGGACGAAATAGCGTGTATAATTTTTGGAGCACTATTATTTGCGTCGAGTTTTTTCGCACCCTTTATAACTGACAGATGGGGTAGGAAAATTTTACTGATAACATCCTGTTTGGGGATATTTTTATCGCACATAGCACTCGGTTCATTCTTCTACGTCAAAAATAACACCACTGCGAGCATAGAACCAATAAAGTGGCTTCCTATTGTAAGTCTTTTATGCTTCAACGTATTTTTTAACGTTGGTTTGAGCCCCATACCATGGAGTTTATCAGCTGAACTTTTCCCCAGCAGTGTGAGATCATCAGCGGCTACAATAACTTCGTCAAGTTGCTGGATGACGTCCTTCTTCGTGACAAAGTGCTTCAACATGATGGTGGATCATCTTGGCAACGCTGGAACCTTCTGGTTCTACGCCTGGATCTGCTTTTTTGGTGGCATTTTCACGTTGTTTTTTGTGCCCGAAACCAAAGGAAAAAGTTTTGTCGAGATACAAAGTATTTTAGCCGGAGAAAAATCTACAGAAAAAATCAACGAAAATTACAAAGAAAACCTCGAGAAGTTTTGAGTGGTGACTGTATTAATAATCCTTTTTAACTGTGATATAATTATTAAGTTTTTTGTAATATATTTAATAAAAAATTAATTATTTTTTACAATGTTTTAAAAGTCTAAAACCTATTCCTTGCAACTGTTACTCTTTCTAGGTTAACCTATATGTTTTTAAATATCTAAAGTAGTAAAAGCATACTAAAAATATCAGTTCACTAAGTAAATTAAACACATCCAAAGCAATCGAATCAAATATAAAATATTATTAAAAATTAAAGGAAATAATTTGTATAACCATTTATGTAGGTGTTACAAAAATTGATTCTATCCTCCGTGAATCTGTTTTTGCTTTAAATTTTATGCAGCGGATGGCGCTTTAATCATTTTAAATAAGCAAAAACCTCTATTTTCGACATTATTGATGCATGTGATTCCTGAAGGTCAGTTAGAATTTATATGCATGTTTTATAATTTAAAAGTTTAAGTTCATTAATTTGCTATTTAAGAACCTATCCTCCGTGAAGTGTAATATCTCAGTAAGTAGATTTTTTTTATAAATATATATGTATGTACAATTGGATTTTTAAAAAATATTAAGGTGTCAAAAGATACAATAACTTATTTCAAATATACAAAGGGATGTTTAAAAAAAACATACGAAATTCTAACCTCCGTGAAGCTATCTTCCGTGAAGCTCTCATATTCAAAATGTATGATTTCTTAAACTTCTTGCATTAGTGCAGAACTACTTATGTTATGTTATTTCTAGACCTGGTGGCTTCCCAAAAACTTTCTAGACTAACAGTGAAACAAGCAAAAATAAAAAATAATCATTTTCATTTGGGGGACATCTCAAAATATAATATACATAAGTCAATATCGAAAGACTTCATATTAATACTAGTATTAAACTTCGTATACAGAAATAAAGCTAAAATAATTTAATTATTAAATGCTTAAAAAAAATACGTAGTACATAAAACTTGGCGGCGAGAGCTTACTAATTGCCTCGCACACAATCTACTGCCTCTGCTATAATAAGAGCTTTCTTCGCCTGGTCTATAATGCAACATTGTCGAATGATTATCTCACATAGTAACATTAAATGCACATGTAAAAGAAACAATGGTTATTGTTATTATTAGCTTTATTTATAAGTTTTATCATCTACTTTGAGGTATAGGCTATGTTTGTCTAGAAATTACATATAAAATAAAATAATTACATAAAAAAGATCAACTTTAAAACCCTTTAAGTTAGTTAAATATACAATAATTCAAATGTTAATAAAAGAATAAATATATAAAGCCAAATTAAGATGAATGAGGCCAGTAACAGTTGATTGGCCATAGAAAGAGTTATAAGGTAACATACAAATGGGAAGCCTTATTTTCATCATACTTTCTGGTAAGTTTTCTAAATCAAAACAACAAAACAAAAAAATAAAATATTTTTTAAATTTGTAGGTAACCTTTTGGCCATAACTGGTGACTCAAGCTTATCATGGATATCCCCGATGTACTTAAGGTTAAAATCGACCGATCCAAACATCAACCCATTGGGCAGACCCATCACACGTGACGAAGATGGTTGGCTGGGTTCGTTGGTCAACATTGGCGCCATGGTTAGTCCACTTTTGTTCGGATTCATTTGCTCGAAGTATGGCAGACGAATATCCCTACTAACAATTTCAGTACCAGCTTTAGCAGCGTATGTTATATTGGCATTTGCTGGCGATATTAATTCGTACTACGTTGCCAGACTTCTGCAGGGGTTAACTCTTGGTGGGGAGTACGCAGTGTTGCCGATGTATGTCGCTGAAATAACCGAGGATCACAATAGGGGCAAGATGGCGGCTTCATTGAACGTTTTTTGGACTTTGGGGACTTTGCTACCCTACACCACAGGGCCGTTTTTGGACGTGGTGACATATAATATTTTTCTGGCGAGTTTTCCGTTGATGTTTTTCGTTAGTTTTGTCATTTTGGCACCCGAATCGCCCTACTTTTTGGTTGGGGTTAATAGAGACGACGAAGCTCAAAGGTCTTTGATGAAGCTGAGAGATATTACAGATGATAAAGCTAAAAAAGAAATAGAAAATATAAAGTATATAATAAGTAATGAAGAAAAGGGTACAGTATTGGATCTAGTTAAAACTGCCTCGCTGAGTAAAACTTTGGCAATATCTATGGTACTAATCATGGTACAACAAATGACAGGCTACAAAGCGTTCTTGGCATATCTTGAATTCATCTTCAGCTCTACAGGCAGCAATATACCAGGAGAAATATCATCCATTATATTCGGATTAATGCTATTTCTGTCTAGTTTCATAGCACCGCTCGTTGCAGATAAACTAGGCCGAAAATTCCTACTGATAACTTCCTTCACCGGGCTCACAATCTCACTGCTAACAATGGGCATCTTCTTCTACCTTCTAAACCACACCGCAATCGATACAAAGGCCTTCGACTGGCTTCCTTTACTTTGCATGGCCTTTTTCACTATTTTCTACAACATGAGCACCATAGTTTGGACTGTTATAGCCGAACTATTCCCGAACAACGTTCGTGCTCCAGCTTCCTCGATAGCTTCTTCATTTTGCGCCCTAGTCGGGTTTGTTCTATCGAAATGTTTTAACGACGCGATGGATATTTTGGGCATACATGGTTTGTTCTGGATTTTTGGTTTCATAAGTTTATTTGGGGCTATTTTTACATTCTTTATAGTACCTGAAACGAAAGGGAAGAGTTTTAGTGAAATACAGGATATGTTGAAGAAAACAAGAAAAAGTATATAAAATAATATTACATTTATTACGTTAAAAGTGGCTGCCTATTTTTATATTGTATATAACATGAGTTATTTATAACTACAGTTTGATAATAAAAGTTATGAAACTTGTTGTAATTATGTTATATTCGAGGATTTCTTTTCGATAGCAGTTTCACATAAAAAAATTTCCTACAAAAATGTGTCATGTGTATTGTTGAATGTCCATTAAATTTAATTAGCGTGTTATAATTTATCTTATGTCATTCCCGAGATTTATGAATATAGACCACGGTGTGCCTGAACGAAGTTTAAGTCACATAAAAATGCCGCCAAAAACTGATTACAGTTTCGTGTTCGGGACCCTTTGGTGACTTAAAAATGATATTTATCAAAATCCTACACTGAAAAAAAAATATTCTTGTATCAAATAAATTTATTTGATTCAAAACAATCTGTGTCTCATATATAACGAAGAGAATATATTCTTTAAAATAGAAAAGTATTTTCTTAATTCACGTTGATTTACTTTAAGAATATTTTCTTAATGTAAGAAAATTAATTAATTAATTTTTAATTGAAATATATATTCTTATTTTAAAGCAAGTTGACTTGAATTAAAAAAATATTTTCAAGATGATTGGTATTCTAAATGTAAGAAATCTTTTTTTTCAGTGTAGCTGCTCCTCTTTTCGAAATTTTTTGAAAATTCATGATTTAGTACACATTTGTACACCGATTTTTATAAAATTAGAGTATATTATTGAGGAGACTCTTTAATACTGTTCACATCATTTGATATATACAGGGTGAGACAAAAATCGCTTATTTTTAATAAAGCAAAGGCGTAAATTCATGATTTTGGCAAAACACGCAAAAAAGATTTATCCTCATTTTTTTCATATATTTCTACGTTTATCAGGATACAAATTGGCATTCTTATTAACCTTTTATAAAAAAATTGATTTTTAATAAAATTAAATAAAATAACGCTTAGAGAATATTTTAAATGTTGTTTAATTTAGGGATCTTAGTAGTTTTCAATTTTAAACGAAAAACTGGTTAAAGTTTTTGATCGGCACTCTTTGGAGATTTAAAAACGATATTTACCAAAATCCTAGCTGATCCTCTTTTCGAAATTTTTTGAAAATTCTTAATTTTTTTTTAATTTTTGTTTATCTTTAAGTCTATCTTTGACAGAGTACACATTTTTATAATATTGGAGTATATTGTTAACGAGACTTGGAGAATACTGTTTTCATACTGAGCACTTCATTAGATTTATACAAGGTTAGCCAAAATTCACTTTTTTATATAGTAAAAAGCATAATGCACAAAAAAAGATTTATATCCAAAAAAATTTATTTTATCTAATTTTATTCAAAATCAATTTTTCTTATAGTCTTAATAAGAATCCCATTTTGTAACCTGATAAACAAAAATTTAAAAAAAAAAATCATGAATTTTCTAAAAATTTCAAAAAGAGGAGCAGCTAGGATTTTGGTAAATATCATTTTTAAGTCACCAAAGGATCTCGAACAAGAAACTGTAATTATTTTTTGGCGCCATTTTTATGTGACTTAAACTTCGTTCAGGCACACCGTGAGACAATGTCTATTAGACATGTTGTTTTTTATTTTTCTTGTTTATTTTTAATTTTCTATTGAAAATATTTCAATTCTTTTCAATATTCTTGAGAAGGGGCTTTCCATAAAGTACTCTCTAAAAATGAGTTAGTCAAAAATGAATTTACCACAGTTATTATTGGCTGCCTTTCCACTTATACCATGGTTAACCATAGGATACCATGGTATCCCCAACATTTAACAGGCAATTCTTATGTAAAATTGTCCCCTGAATCCGAAAATACCGTAAAAAATTATAAAAGTAGAGCAGTTTTTGAGGTATAGTCAATTCCAAATTATATGAAAAATTGACTATATCTTAAAAACTGTCCTACTTTTCTAACTTTTGACGACATTTTCGGATTCAGGGAATAATTTTACATGGTAATTGACTGCCAAAGGTTCGGAATACAAATTGCTATTGAAGAGAATTATTAGTGGCTGCTTTTTATAATAACAATTCATTTTTAGAGAGACACACCTATTTAGGGGATTTAGACCCCCCTCCCCCCATGTCACTCATAATAGCATTGATATACCCCCTCCCTAAAGGTAAGACGTACTTTATAGACGGCTAAGTTGTAACAGGGAACAAAAATCAGTATTTTAAAGAGGTTTGGGCAGGATTTTAGTGGCTATGAGAAGATTTTGAAAAAATTCTGGGTTGTAATAGAGTCTAGTTAAAACACATTTACAAAGTTTTAGAAAGATTGATTTTCGAGTAAAAAATTATTAAAGTTGCCAAGACTACACGGGATGTTATCGTTTATTATTGCTAAACTGAGTTGTTAATGTTGACAAGATTTTTTATGCCAATTCTACAGGCATAAGTATAACACTACCCAAATGAAAAAAGCCAACCAATAAAATTCATTGAAACAAAAGGAGTTTTATTTTATTTGATTACTTTCTCTCCATGGTTAACCATGGTACAAGTGAAAAAGCAGCCACTAATTATTAAATTAGTAATTTGTGACTAATTCATTTTTTAGAGAGAATACAGTAGAATCTAGTAAAATATTTTTACTAGGTTGAACTCGGAACACAATATCAAATCGCCTTCGCCCCCCCCCCCCAAAAAATCTATCTAAGCCCTTGTGAATAAAATATATAATGATAAGTGCCAAGAAATGGTTACTTATTAAAACAAATATTTAGAACCTCGTTCTAACGCTAGACAGTGACAGAGCACATGTTCCTGAGGTTAGGGGTTAGTAACATAAATGAAGAAAAACATGTCCCTCTCAAAATAAAAATCTACTGTATACATATATTTCCGATAGCTAGAAACCAACTACTTACCTACTTTTTCTAGTTCAACCAAGAAATTTTTTTTGCTAATTCAAACTCAAACTGGTAAAAATTCATCACTTTTTACCATGTAAAATCAAGTAAACAATTTTACTTCTTAAACCTAGTAGTTTATAAAGAATTACAATATTTATGTTTTTAAGTATTAAAAATAAAAAGAAATAATATTTTTTTAATTTTATAAAATTGTTTTTCAGCATTATTTGGCTACGTCTGTTTGGCCTTGTTTGTCATTGTTTAGAGCTTATACATGATTTTTGGAACTTTTTTTATCTCTGTTTTGAAATTTTTTAATTTAATTTAGATTATACTACTTAATTTAGTTTTTTGTTCATTTACGGTTAGGATTTAGAAGTAATATTTAAAAAAACTGACATGTTAAGTAACACTTTATCACCCTGTATCTTTTAAACATACGTAATTAGGAAAAATATTTATTTAGATTTTCGTCTTATTTTGACTTGCTTAATCTTGTATAATAATATTGTTGAATGCTTTTTTTCATACAATTTTTATACGCAAAAAATGATGATAATTTAGATTTTATAATGGCATGTTTATAACGGCATGAATTTAGCAATGTCGTATTTCTACCACGATAGGAAAAAGGTTTTTATCATAGATATACTAATATGTACCTAGATGGTTTTTATAATCAACAATTTAGTTTGTTTTCTGTTGTATACCAATTGTTTTGGCATTGTTTTTTTTCATTGTTTAAAAGATTTTTGGCACATACTAGTATGTGATTTTTGGTGGCTTTAGCGCCATCTAGTATGTAGCGTCCAAAGTACAAATTACAGGTACCTGTAGATGAGAGAATAGGATAAATTTAAAAAATAGGGGGACAAATACGCACAGTAGTTAAAAATTAAGAAATTGTGGATTTTTTTTTTAATTTTCTTTTATATTACTTTGAATTATCCTTGGTTTTAAACATATTATCGAAATAATTTTCTTTAATAATATTAGGTACCTACTGCTGGCACATATAATCTTATTCAAGGTATACTGATAATCCAAATTTATCTTAATTAGAAAATAATATCCATTGTTTAATATAAAAGTGTTTATTAATAATAGATGTCCAGTTTTGTCAAAATTTGTACTCGTGCAATTGAAAACAAAGAAAAAAATGTTCGAACGACTTCTTGGCACAAAATACATCTACTTTTTGGTAGCATCGTGTAAGTAAAAACAAAAAAATAAAGGGCGATTCCATAATTACTGACGGGACAAGCAAAAAAAACCAAAATGTTTTATGAACAATTTTGAAGACGTGTAATTAATTAATAATAATTTTATGCCAGTCCTCAGCAATGAAATTAGGTAATAATAACTATTATAAAATTATTATTATGTGAACAACACATCTAAAAATTTTCATAAAACATTTTGTCTTGTTTTTGTTTGTCCGTCAGTTATCGTAAAATCGCCCTAAAGTTGTTTATTTTGAAATATTTAGTAAGTTTTTGTTATGACCTTTACAGAAAAAAACCGGTGATAAGAAAAGATTTTGATTCGGTAGTTGACCAATTAACTATTTTTAAATAAATATTGCATTAATGATAAACATTTGGGCCCGCCCCTGGTCCATTTATTTATTTTTGTTTGTTAGGCTTACGATAAGATTAATGGAAAGAAAATTATTTTCTAATACATAACTGATATGGTATTGACCTATTGCGTCTTCTTAATCTAAGAAAATACAAAATTTTGTCAACTGACAATTTGTTAGTTATTAGCTTAACATGGGCTCCTCCAGCAAAACTGTTTATATTTTGACATTGGTCTGTAAGTAATCTCAAGAACTTAAATTGAAATGGTTTTAAAGATTTTAATTTTGATTTCAGCAAACTTGGTGTCGTTTTTGGCTGGAACAGTTTTATCATGGTCATCGCCTATGATAACGAAATTACAATCTGAAGAATCCCCCCTGGACAGAATCATCACAAATACTGAAAAAGACTGGATAGGATCTTTACCAAGCCTTGGTGGACTGGTGGGGCCCTTAATATACGGAACATTGATGCAAAAAGTTGGAAGAAAGAATTCTGTGCTACTACTAGCGGTACCATATTTTCTTGCCTATGTAATCCCTGCTTTTATAACCGATATAAACTGGTATTTTGCGGCAAGATTCATAGCTGGTATTGGTATGAGTGGCAGTTTTATGTGTGTACCGACGTATATATCAGAAATAGCTGAAAACAAGCGAAGAGGTTTACTTCTTTCATCTTCGACGTGCTTCATTCTAAGTGGTGTGCTGTTTGACTATGTTGTTGGGCCTTTAACAACTGCAGCTGAATTTAATATTATTCTCAGCGCGTTTCCTGTTATATTTGCGATTACTTTTGCCGTTATAGGAGTGGAATCTCCTTATTACCTGCTAGCTAATGGCAGAGAGGCCGAAGCAGTGAAATGTTTAAACACGGTTAGAGGAAATGTTGATACAGCCAACGAATTAAAGTTAATTAAGGAAAATATTGCAAGAAGTCAGGAAGAAAAAGGTACCATCTTGGATATCTTCAAATCGAAGGCTTCCGTTAACGCCCTTATCATCGCTATATGCTTGGTGGTATTCCAACAGTTCTCAGGTATAAATGTAATTCTATCGTACACAGCAACAATATTTGAGGAAGCCGGTGGCACTCTATCACCCGAAACATCGAGTATAGTAGTTGGTTCGGTGCAGCTGGCCACCTCACCAATCTCCCCGCTTCTAGCTGACAGACTTGGGCGTAGAAAATTACTGTTATCCTCAATTCTCGGTGGAGCTCTAGCAGAATGTGTATTGGGTGTATATATCTACCTCAAAAACGTTGGTAATGATGTGGACTCCATATCCTGGCTCCCTTTACTCTGTCTGGTGCTCTTCATCACATTCTTCAACGCTGGTTTCTCAAGTTTACCGTGGGTTCTTCTAGCGGAAATATTCCCCACCAAAGTTAAGGCGGTCGGTGCCAGCTCCGCTCACGTGATGTACTGGGTAACGGGTTTCTTATTGACGAACTTTTTTAGCACCATTACGGAAAACATGGGCATGGGTCCCACTTTCTGGATGTTCTCAGTTATAAGTTGTTTTGCGTTTGTTTTTATGTTCATAAGGTTGCCCGAGACGAAGGGGAAATCGTTTCAAGAGATTGAGTTGCAGTTATCGCGCTAACAACAAAGAATATATTGTTTGTTTTGTATTTATTGAACCTTGTAATATTTTGACAAAAACATTAAAAATTATAAGAACAATTTTGGATTTTTCTTTTACCAATTACAACTAATTATATGGTCTAAAGATCGTACAAAAATAAGAAAAACTTACTGATTACCCCATTCATTAATTGTTATTAGCAACCAATAAGTAATACTCATACAAATGCATATAGTTATTAAACAAAAGCATATACTTATTAAACTTATCTTCAGCTTATCTCCAGCAAAACTGTTTATATTTTGTCATTGGTCTGTAAGTAATCTTAAGAACTTAACTTGATATTACCTTTATGGTTTCAAACATTTTAATTTTGATTTTAGCAAACTTGGTGTAGTTCATAGCTGGAACAGTTTTATCATGGTCATCGCCCATGATAACGAAATTACAATCTGAAGAATCCCCCCTGGACAGAGTCATCACAAATACTGAAAAAGACTGGATAGGATCTTTACCAAGCCTTGGTGGACTGGTGAGGCCCTTAATATACGGAACATTGATGCAAAAAGTTGGAAGAAAGATTTCTGTGCTACTACTAGGCGTACCATATTTTCTTGCCTATGTAATCCCTGCTTTTATAACCGATATAAACTGGTATTTTGCGGCAAGATTCATAGCTGGTATTAGTTTGAGTGGAAGTTTTATGTGTGTACCGACGTATATATCGGAAATAGCTGAAAACAAGCGAAGAGGTTTACTTCTGTCATCTTAACCTGCTTCATTCTAAGTGGTGTGCTGTTTGACTATGTTGTTGGGCCTTTAACAACTACAGCGGAATTTAATATTATTCTCAGCGCGTTTCCTGTTATATTTGCGATTACTTTTGCCGTTATAGGTGTGGAATCTCCTTATTATCTGCTAGCTAATGGCAGAGAGGCCGAAGCAGTGAAATGTTTAAACACGGTTAGAGGAAATGTTGATACAGCCAGTGAATTAAAGTTAATTAAGGAAAATATTGCAAGAAGTCAGGAAGAAAAAGGCACCATCTTGGATATCTTCAAATCGAAGGCTTCCGTTAACGCCCTTATCATCGCTATATGTTTGGTGGTATTCCAACAGTTTTCAGGTATAAATGTAATTCTATCGTACACAGCAACAATATTTGAGGAAGCGGGTGGCACTCTATCACCGGAAACATCAAGTATAGTAGTTGGTTCGGTTCAGCTGGCCACCTCACCAATCTCCCCGCTTCTAGCTGACAGACTTGGGCGTAGAAAATTACTGTTAACCTCAATTCTCGGTGGAGCTCTAGCAGAATGTGTATTGGGTGTATATATCTACCTCAAAAACGTTGGTAATGATGTGGACTCCATATCCTGGCTCCCTTTACTCTGTCTGGTGCTCTTCATCACATTCTTCAACGCCGGGTTCTCAAGTTTACCGTGGGTTCTTCTAGCGGAAATATTCCCCACCAAAGTTAAGGCGGTCGGGGCCAGCTCTGCTCACGTGATGTACTGGGTAACGGGTTTCTTATTGACGAACTTTTTTAGCACCATTACGGAAAACATGGGCATGGGTCCCACTTTCTGGATGTTCTCCGTTATAAGTTGTTTTGCGTTTGTTTTTATGTTCATAAGGTTGCCCGAGACGAAGGGGAAATCGTTTCAAGAGATTGAGTTGCAATTATCGCGCTAAGAACAAAGAAAATATTGTTTGTTTTGTATTTATTGAACCTTGTAATACTTTGACAAAAACATTAAAAATGATAAGAACAATTTTGGTTGTTTCTTTTACCAATCCCAACTAATTATATGGTCTGAAGATCGTATAAAAAAAATAAAAAAAAACTTACTGATTACAACATTAATTAATTGTTATTAGCAACCAATAAATAATACTTATGCATATACTTAAAAAACAAAAGTTTATACCTACTTATCTTCAAGTAAAAAATAATACGCCATAAAGTTTAGTAGTCTTTCTTAACTCGTTCATCCTTAATACTTTTGCAAAATGGTGTTGCGACTTTTTGAATCAAAGTACATTTACTTTATAGTTGGGTCAGGTAAGAACAAAATAAAACTATATTTACAAACTCTTACAAATAAGTATTTTAGTCAACTTGGTAGCATTCTCAGTGGGCACTGGCATGTCATGGCCTTCTTCGCAGTTAACGAAACTTACCAACAATGTCGACAACCCACTGGGTAGATTAATAACAAAATCTGAAGCGGGATGGATTACTTCCTTATCAAACATCGGTGGAATTATAGGACCTGTAGTTTATGGATTTTTCATGGAGACAATTGGACACAGAAACTCTCTCATTGCTTTAGGCATACCTCTTGTGACAACATTCGGTATTACGGCATTCGCTCAGAATATCTACTTGTATTATATAGCAAGGTTTCTACTGGGCATTGGTTCAGGACCAATGTTTTTGGTGTGTGCTGTTTATGTGGCCGAAATCGCAGATAATGATAGAAGAGCTTTATTGACGGCAACAACAGTAATTTATGTAACTACTGGTACGCTATTTTCATACTGTGTGGGCCCATATACGTCCCCTATGGTTTTTAATTTAATCTTGAGTGCAATACCGAGTTTATACATAATTTTGGTGGTGTTATTCGTTCCGGAATCGCCTCATTACTTGTTGAAACAAGGCGATGTAGTTGGTGCTACAAGAATATTAGAGAATATCCGTGGATATAAAGGAGACGACATAACTAGGGAAATAGAAGACCTCAAAGGGTTCACCGACTCATCTCATGAAGAGAAGGCACGGGTCATAGACCTATTCAGCAGCTCGGCAGCCATCTACGCCTTCTTCATGGGTTTATTTTTGGTGACATTCCTGCAAGTCAACGGGACGGGCGTTTTTATCAACTACACCGAACAAATATTCGACGGTACCGTATCAAAATTGACGTCCTCGCAATCTGCCATCGTAGTAGGTGTAATACAGGTGGTGTTTTCACCGATTTCGCCGATTTTCATACAACGTTTTGGCAGGAAAACTTTACTTTTAACCTCGATCATGGGCGGGATTGCAGCGCATACCAGTTTGGGTGGCTATTTCATCCTGCAAGATCAAGGCGTTGATCTGCACCGTTTTTCCTGGGTGCCCCTTACCAGCATGGGTTTGTTCTTCTTCTCATTCTTCGCCGGTTTCGGGTGCCTACCATGGGCCATCATAACGGAAATATACCCCAGCCATATCAAGTCTATGGGGTGCAGTGTGGTCAATACGATATCCAGTATGTTGGGTTTTTTGGTTATGTTTTATTTCAACTGTATGGTAGACTCTATAGGTATGGGTTACACTTTTATTCTGTTCAGTGGCGTTATGTCGGTCGCGTGGTTGATAATATTTGTTAAATTACCAGAGACGAAAGGCAAGACTTTCCACGAAATACAGGACATCATTTCTGGACCTAAAGGTAGATACATGGATGAGATTGGATTGGAGACTACATCTGAAACCTACTCTGAATAATATTTATTTAGCTGTTATATTAATTGTTTATTTATGGTTTGATAAAAAAATAATTTCTTTATAGTCATATTTATTTTATTATAATTATACATATAAAATATTATAAACTTTTATAGTATATTATCTTATTTTTAATTACCTTATCTCCAATATTATCGTGAAACTATGGACCATGGATCAATTACCATAAAAATGTCGTATAACGAAGCTACTGCTCTCAGTTAGTGTTTTAGTAGTTGTCTATACAGTGAGCAATAAAAATGACAATTCGAGTTTGTGGGACTAAATTCATTTATATCCTAGTCGCAATAGGTAAAACTACATTTACCTAACTTAAAATTTAAGGCTTTCACTGTAACACTTTATAATTACTTTAATGTATTGTATGAAACAATATGCTCCACACATCAAGTCCCATTAAGGTTATTTTTCTATCAGTGTCAAGCTCTAGCTATAGCTATAACTTCATCCTATTTTCTAAAAACAATGCAATATATATATATATATATATATGTATTTTTTGTGTATAAAGATCTTAATCTTAATTTAGAACACAAAAAATACATAATATGTATAATATATTATATTGTTTTATTTTTAGAAAATAAGGCGACATTAGCTTGACATTGACAGAAAATTAACCTTAGATATTTATATGAAAGTCACCTGGTGGGACTTTGATAGGTATGTGGTGCATAGTACCCATATCCATTTTGATAATTAAGGGACAAGTGCACTTCCATGGATGAAGGGTTATGTTTAATAATAAAGGAAACAAAATATTGAAATTGCAATAACAAATTTATTTTTATTTGCAATTAACATATTGTCTGTTATATTTTAATTTAAATGTAACATGACACCTTTATTCACTTGCCCCTTTAATTAGCTTTTTTATTTTATATTAAACATATTGTGGAATAAATGTGCAAAAAATGACAATTTTAAAAATTAATGTTCTGGTGTTTAAAAACGCAGTCTTATCACACAAGTATTACACATTCTTACACGGAAATGTTAAAGGTACAAAAAGTGAGTTGTAGGTATTTATTGGAATTTCCGTTAGAATTTCGAATCTACCGGCGTTAAAATCTCAATTTTTTCTGTGTAAATCAAAATTTTTGAAAATAGACTAACCATCGATTTTATAGCAGTTTTTCACAGTAAAAGAGAAGATAATGTTTATCAGTTAAATCTAGTTTACTTCACTACTACGGCGAAATCAAAAGGTCAGTACAAACGTTCATATAATCTTTTCAAAAGTTGGCGTCAAGAAACAATTGGGATGATAAAATAATTTTCACATTTTAACGATTGTATTTGACAACTGTCAACTAACTTAAAACTAACTTCAGTTCGTGACTAAAACCTGTTGCTAACTTCAGCCCGTGACTAAAGCGCGACTAAAAGCCACAACTTGTCAATGTGTATTTAAAAGGTCACTAAGTGTAGGATAATGGGCTTTCTAAAGGTGGGAGTAGAAAAAGTATTTTAATAGTGTGTTATAATCCATAACTTACTAGTGAGTAAAGTGGTATTCTATTTATTTATTACTATTACAAGCAGAATTCACATTGAAATTGAAATTAAAGGAAAACGCTAACGGTTTATTCAAATTTGAAGTCATTAAAATTAAAATTCGTTGGTTCATTGGAACCAGACGCTCCCATATCGGTACAGCTGCTGATAGTGCTGGAAGACGCCGACGCATTAGAACCTGCAATTTGTATTTTCTATGCACCGATTCTTCTAGGTATCCTTCTGCTATCCTGCTATCCTTCTGCTACAGTCGAGGACTTCCATCCTCCGTGACGCTTAAAAGTAGTCATGCAGGCCCCTGCATTGGCCAAAATAGTCGCCGAAGACCTTCTCAGGCAGTGACCGGTGTAGAGCGCTGGTTTCTCCAATTTCAAAAACATTGCAATTCTTGAAGGTATCTTCGACAACGTATTTATTCCCACACACTGGCTGGTACACCTCCCATTTTTGTAAAAAACAAAAAAGCGGCTAGAACTACTATTCTTTGGTCTCAAAGACATGTATTTTTTACACAAATTGATCGGGTTGACTGGAAATCCTTCTTCAAGTATGGTGAAACTTCTAAATTTCTTGGTTTTAGTGTCTGGCAAAACTACGTGAAAATATTTCCCTTTGCCTTAAATATTTTCTATTTTCAAATTGACAGTTCATCGCATCTACAAGCACCGCTAATCCCCATTATCAAAGCCACTTTCAACAAAAGGAACTCGTCGTCGGGAGCTTCGTTCAAAAACTTCTCTATTTCAGGTCGTTCTAATGTCTTGGACTTCTTTGGTTTGTATCCCTGTCATTTGCTTTTCAAAAAGCTTATTAGTTTCCCATATTTTAAAATGTCAATTTTTTATAAAGGTGAATAGTCGAGCGAAGCATCGAGTATTTGGTCCATAGAGGCGATGGGGCAAATGTAAAAAATAAGCCAATAGAACATTTTCATCGATACCTTTTATCTTCCGTGAATTCATCCAACACTCAAACATTTTGAACTCCTTGTCGTAAGCATCTCGGGACTTTTCTGGCAAAATCTGCATTGCTGCTTCTTCCGCTTCCGTAAGGATATCCTCAGGAACGTAATTTTCATCGGTTTCCTCCATTTTCTATACGTTTTTTTCTTCAAAAAAGCTTCCCTTTTCTGCAGGGAAAACTGACAAGTGTCAAAATTTATTTAAACTTTTTCTAACAATGTATCATGCCCGTGGCAACCAAACAAACAACCTACTTTGACCAAAATGTAAAAAAGTCACTGTCAAGTCATTCTGACCCTGAGACGCAAATAGCTTTGATTTGATCACAAAGCTATGGAACGCCGTTTTGGTTAATATTATTTGTTTTTTACATTTTTTAAATAAAAATCATTTTTATGATTCTTTATTTATTTTTATACAATTAATTGATTGTTTAAAAACCTTGCCCATTTAAATTGAATGATGAAAAAAATATTTCCTTATTTTTAAATTTTTGTTTTAAATTTTTAAATTTAAATAAGGAATTAAATTTATCATGTAACAAATTAATTCAACAATCATTTTAATTCAACTAACATAAAAATAGCCACCATTTAAATGAAAGAATTAAAATTATAAACAAACAATTTAATTCAAACATAATAATGTAGCGAATTATTTTGACTGATGAATTAAAATGTTACATGATTTAAAATGACTGTTGATAAATTTAATTCTTTCATTTTAATTCAGGAATTAAAATTATCAACAAACATTTTAATTGGGCGCTGGAGATGGCGGGCAATGTGAATACTACTTAAAAAGTTTACTTGGCAACTTCGCATCTTTATTAAACCGCAGAAAAGTAACCTTAGGCAGTGCCTAATAGGCATATGCAACGTTAAAACCATTGATTATAATAATAATTATTATACCCCTTCACTAAACGGTCACGTCTTTTCGCGATTTTTAAGATGCAACATTGCCACGTGAACCTTTTAAGTAGTTCTCATATCGCCCGCTAGCTGCAGCGCCCAATTAAAATGTTTGTTGATAATTTTAATTCCTGAATTAAAATGAAAGAATTAAAATTATCAACAGTCATTTTAAATCATGTAACATATTAAATCAACTAACAAAAAAATAACAAACATTTAAATTAAGAAATTAAAATTATTAACAAACGTTTTAATTCCTGAATTGAAATGTTGGTTGTTTTTTTGCTTGTTGAATTATTATGTTACATGATTTAAAATGATTGTTGATAATTTAAATTCCTTACATTAAATTTAAAGCTTTTACGTGCCTGTTTGAAACTTAAAATAAAAATTTAAATATAAAGAAACATTTTATTTAACTAATCAATTTAAATGGCACAGTTTTTAAAACAATCAATTTAAATGTAACAAAATAAATAAGGAATCATAAAAATTATTTTTGGTTTAAATTATTTTAAAAAATATTTTTCAATTATAAATTAATTTAAATGATTGTCTATTTATTATGTTACAATTAATTGATTGTTTAAAAACCCTGTCCATTTAAATTGAATGATGAAAAAAATGTTTCTTTGTATTTAAATTTTTCTTTTAAGTTTTTATATTTAAATAATGCATTAAATTTATCATGTAACAAATTAATTCAACAATCATTTTAATTCAACTAACATAAAAATACCCACCATTTAAATGAAAGAATTAAAATTGTAAACAAACAATTTAATTCAAACATAATAATGTAGAGAATTATTTTGACTGATGAATTAAAATGATTGTTTATTTAAAATGTTTGTTGATAAAAAATGTTACATGATAATTTTAAATGGATTTAATATGATTGTTCAATTAAAACGATTGTTGCATTAAAATGTTACATGATAATTTTAATTGGGCGCTGAAGTTTGCGGACAGATTAGGTATTAAATTTGGGTCTACGCATCTAATGCCTATGGTTTTTGCAGCATATGCTGATAAAACAGGAATTACAGAGACTTAGTGATTGACTTCGCTTTAGACTCACAAAATCGACTACACTCTCATATACCTATAACTATAGTTATAGGTATATGTAAACTCTAGAAAGAGACAAAGCAATAATCTTGAAACAATTATAGACATTAGACGCGTAGACCTAAATTTAATACATAAGCTGTCCGCAAACTTCAGCGCCCAATTAAAATTATCATGTAACATTTTAATACAACAATCGTTTTAATTAAACAATCATATTTATTCCATTTAAAATTATTATGTAACATTTTATTTCAACAAACATTTTAAATAAACAATCATTCTAATTCATCAATCAAAATAATTCGGTACATTATTATGTTTAAATTAAATTGTTTGTTTATAATTTATATTCTTTCATTTAAATGGTGGCTATTTTTATGTAAGTTGAATTAAAATGATTGTTGAATTAATTTGATACATGATAAATTTAATTCCTTATTTAAATTTAAAAATTTAAAACAAAAATTTAAAAATAAGAAAATATTTTTTTCATCGTTCAATTTAAATGTGCAAGGATTTTAAACAATCAATTAATTGAATAAAAATAAATAAAGAATCATAAAAATGATTTTTATTTAAAAAATGTAAAAAACAAATAATATTGACTAAAACGGCGTTCCATACAAAGCTTATTAATTATTATCTCATAAAAAACGATTTATTCCACTTGTTGGATAAAACATTGTATGCCACTCGTGTGATATATTTACACAGTCACTTGAGAATTTATACCATATAAATCTTTCTCGCGTGACTTATTTTTAACATAAATAACTATAATATGACGTCTTTCAGAAATATTACCCCAGACAAATAATAATAAAGTTATTTAATGCAGAAAATAATTTAAAAAAAATAGTTTACCTATAGGTATACATTGCCTTATAATTGCTATACAAATTTCAAATCGATATCTTTTTCTGTTCCCCAAAACTTCTAATGAATAAGTTAGTTGAATCACCCTGTATATATATGTTAATAATATCATTTTTGCAAACTTAAAAATGAATAGCGATTGTAATATATCCACCACAAAATCTGGAAGTACAATAGATGCAGTGTTTGTTAGATAATGAGACAGATTACAATCAAAAATGTTTATCTCATGAGATGCATACGTGGTACGTTATCATAAGCCTATTTTTTCATGCCTGAAGTGTGAGATTGTATACAATTTTTCAATCTGTTTATCAAATATTATAAATATTCCCCAACACCAAAACATAACATCTGCAGAAGCGAAGTGTAACTCAGTTACACTTCTTATTCCAATATTTCTAATATTCTTATTCTAATATTTGTTTAACATATCATCAAAGTTGTCTTTTTTCAGGAATCTGTCAATAATGATATCACAATAGCGTGTCAATAAAATTGAGTCACTTGGTTGCTGGGATTAGCAGATTCATATTATATCTCCTCTATAGAGGAGTATACTATTTAAACCATTTTATTGTTCCAGTAAACATCACTGGATTCTCCTTTGGAACGACCATATCATGGACATCTTCGCAACTGACAAAACTACAAAAATCCGACGACAGTCCCCTGGGCCGAGCCATAACAGATAACGAAGCTAGCTGGATAACGTCTTTATATAGCATCGGAGGCATCATAGGACCTTTGATATTCGGCTATATAAACGTTAAAATCGGCCAAAGATTAACCTTGATTGCACTAGCAGTGCCTTTTATTGTACCCTATTTAATCTTCGCCTTTGCAACACATATTAATTGGTATTACGCTGGGAGGTTTCTCTTGGGCGTTGGAATTGCCCCTATGTTTTCCATATGTACTGTGTACGTAGCCGAGATAGCTGACAAATCAACCAGAGGACTTTTAACATCCGCAGGCATGTTTTTCGTAAGCATTGGATCCTTATTTTCCTACTGTGTAGGACCTTACACCTCCACCATGGTTTTCAATCTTATACTAGCTGCAATACCGAGTTCATATATGGTTTTAATCATCATATTCGCCCCAGAATCACCACACCATCAAATCAAACGCGGCGATATTAGAGGTGCTATAAAATCGCTCGAAATAATCCGTGGATATAGCGGCGAAAGAATAACGAAAGAAATAGAGGATATACAAACATTTTCCAACCAGGACGACGTAACGGGACGCATTATAGACCTATTCAGCACCAAAGCGGCAAGGTTTGCTTTCTTCATGTCTCTATTTCTAACGGTTTTCCAACAGCTCTCCGGAATGGGCATTATTTTGAGTTACACCGAACAAATTTTTGACGCTACGAAATCCAAGTTGACCTCCTCGCAATCCTCCATTATTGTAGGCATTATGCAGGTGGTTTGTGCGCCTATAGCGCCAATTTTCACTGATAAATTCGGCAGAAGAATTTTGATGATGTTCTCTATATCCGGGGCTATTTTATCGGAAACTTTATTAGGAACCTTCTTCACTCTAAAAGATCAAGGGAGGAACGTGGATTCGTTTTCATGGTTGCCGTTGTTTTGCATGGGTATGTTTATGGTTACGTTTTTCGCGGGAATCGGTAGCCTACCCTGGCCTATAATAGCCGAGATATATCCGACGCATCTGAAACCTATAGGGGCCGGTATTATCAATACGTGTTGCAACTTGGTTGGATTCGCTGTGTTGTACTTTTTCAATGATTTGGTTAAGAGCATCGGCATGGGCGGAACTTTTTACATGTACAGCGGAATATTGGCTGTATCCGGCGTCATAGTTTTTATTTGGTTGCCTGAAACTAAGGGACAGACCTTTCAGGAGATACAGGATATCATTTCGGGGCATAAGAAGTATAGCGATAGCATGGCGATGGAAAATCATGGCTACTCACAAAAATATTGATTTGTATTAAGTCAGTTTATCTCGTATTTTAATAAACGTTTCTATAAAACCTGTTTTATTGTTAAGTAACAACCCAGATAACATCCGTGACTTTCATACAAAATGTGACCCGTGACTTGATGATTTTCATTGATGAGTTCATATAGGTACGATTGATGTAATGGAGGGACGAGTGAGTGAGTGAGTCATTTAACTTGAAACTTTGAAATATCTCAGTTAGTACCTACTTATGCATTTTAGGAAAACAAATTTAAAATAAAAATGAAATGATTCGAGGGGGGAAATCAATACTAAAATTGGTCCTTATACTCTCCTCCTTATAGGGGGAACAAGTGTAACTTTAAAATTTCCAATGCCAGAAGAAAAATCCAACAAAATTTTTTTTATTACAGCGCCATCTATTACAAATATGAAAAAATGTTTTAGACAAAATCTACCTATTTTTAGTCGAATGATCTGAATCTGCAATAAAAAATAGGGGTTCCATTGTAAATTTTAAAGTTACCCCCTGTTCCCCCTATAAGGAGGCGATAGCCAATGTTGCAGATCTAAGAGAGGCAGATATTATGCTTTCTTTGCTGTGTTCCCAAGTAACATTTTTAGTTTTATTATGGTCTTCAAAGTTTTATTATGGTCTTCAAGAACACTTTAAAACAAAATTTTGTTTTAAAGCGTTCTTGAAGACCATAATAAAACTAAAAATGTTACTTGGGTTGTATCTATATACTATTTTTCTGTACTTAGAAACAATTGCGACATATTTTGTCATCTAAAGGTACCCAAATTAATTTGACGTTTGACATTATAGGTTATGTGCATAAATTTATTCTACAGTGACCTGTAATTTTACAGTTACCTACATACACTGATTTTGAGCTAAATGCGATTTAGCTGTGTAATTGAAACTTTGCTAACAAAATTTGTCGAGCCGAAGAAAAATAAATACATTTTGTATAAAAAAATTTAATTTTAAATTTTAAGAAACACTTTTATAAAAGTTTAACACTGTTTTAATACAATCTAATAAATGCTTAAGGTTTTAAAAATCAAACAACAAAATTAAGTACATTCATAGATTAACACTTAAAACTACTTGGACAATATTCTTTGTATCTCCTGAAAACTCAAACCTTTGGTCTCGGGAACAAATTTAACAACAAACAGTAATGCCAATGCATTAAAGCCACAAAACAACCAGAATGTTTCACCCTGCCCTAAATAGTTATTTAAATCGTTGAAAAACTTGGTGACCAAAAAGGAGACCAACCAACCACTGAAACCTGTAATTGTGGCCAAAAAGAATTTAACGTTTGACGGTAAAATTTCCGAAGTTATTGTAAATGGCAAAGGACCAAACCCTATATTGAAAGTTATGGTAAATACTACAAGACATATTATAGGCAACCAACTCACGCTATCTAAGGTGTATTTTTTATCTTTAAGGTAAAAGTACACACCCAGTATTGCTTGCGATACCACCATACCACTGGCAGAACATATCAACAAAAATTTACGACCCTTTCTGTCCACCAACAAGGGTCCACAAAAACTAGCCAAAAATAATACAACCCCTACAATAATAGCCGACTCTTCAGCTGAAAAGTTCGAACCACCACTCCTGAAAATAATTTCAGTGTACGATAGAACAGCACTTATACCTGAAAGTTGCTGCAATGACGATAAGCTTAAAGCTATTATAAAACCTTTAATAACATTTTTTGTTTTGAGGGTATTAAACACGTTCTTAGTTCTGTTTGATTCAATTTCGTTCTCTATGCTATGTATAGCAATTTTATTGTTTAGTCCTAATGTTTTCAAAGATTTTTCGGCTTTATAGCTGTCATCATTTTTGACGTAATAATATGGGCTCTCAGGGGCTTTAAACCCAAATACCACTAAGAATATCAAAGGCAGTGTAGCTAGAATAACATTGAATAATTTAACTGAAATATACGGCCCCAAAATATACGGTAGTAAATCCCCAAAACTAGCAAAGGTACTATAGGAAACCAACAACATTCCCCTATAAGAATCCTCACAAATCTCAGCTATATACATAGGCAACACAATATACACCGAAGACAGCGAAACTCCCCCTAAAAACCTCCCAAAATAAAACAAATTAATATCATGCGCAAAAGCAAAAATTAAAAATGACGCCAAATGAGGTACCGCCAATATTAGTAAAGTCGGTTTTCTCCCAATTTTATCAGCCAAATATCCAAACGGAAAAATCCCCACCATGGCTCCAATATACTGCATCGAGCCTATCCATGAGATTTCGTCGTCTGTAATTGGTTGTCCCAGCGGGTTTACGTTGGTATCATTGGATTGAAGTTTTGTTATCATAGGGGAAGACCATGTTAAGGTGGTGTCCCCTGTTAAAGCAAGGATGTTCCCTGGAAAAAGTGATATTGTTATAATTTAAAAAAATATTTGAGATATCGAGTTGAAATTTAAAAAAATTAATATTTTATTTACTTATTATTACATTGTAATCATTACTTATTAATTAATTAAGTAGTTCGTATAATTTTTTCTACTAATCTTTGAGATAACAGATATAATTTTTTTATTTATTTACATTCGGAAGGGCTTTTATAAACCATGCACAATCCCTGCGAAATTTGAGTAGTTAATAGATAAAACTCGCAATAAAAACATTAGATAACATTCTTTTAATTCGATTCTATAAAGTCTATTTATTTTGACCTTGAAACGTCCGAAATTATGATATTGTAAAAAAAAGTCTCACCTGCAATGGTCACCAGCCACACGTGCATATTCATTTGTTTTAAACTAAATTTTATATCACTCGAAAATCGCCATTATTTATTTATTTTTAGTTATAAAAACAACACTTTTTCTGAGCGTCAAAATTAAATAAATTAATGACCAACAAACTTGCGCTCATCAATTTAAATTCATTTACGTTTAAATTGCAATTAGGAGAGATCGAAAAGATTCGACAATTACTTAACGAGTCGATAAAATAACTTTACTTAATATAACCTTTACACTTTAAAACATGATTTATTTATTTTGGCATATAAATCCCCTATTTACCTTAAAAAAATGCTATAAATCCTCACCAAAACAATAAACTTAACTTAAATAACATTGTGAACACTTATATTGCTATAAATAAACGATTAAACAGTGATTTATGCCTTAATTTAGCCATTCTGTATATAGAGCGTTAACTGGGTTGCCTACATACAGCAATCACTATAAAGACGTGCAATTCTCAAAATAATTTAGCGATAAACCGGTTAAATCAAAACCAACACTCAAAAGCTGCCTAATTTAATATAAACAACGCAAATAAAGTTCTATTTCTAACAATTCAACACGCAAAAACGTTTAAAATGTGTTACACTTTCTTTTTACGTGGCAAATGACTTTTTTACGTCGCGAATAACTTTAAAAATAAACCTACTAGAAGTAGTTCCTAGTATTATTCAGGTACGTAATAGGAATCCAAATGGGGTTTTTAATGACTGCAAATATATTTGTAGGTACTTATATGCAACGTGTTAAAAAAGAGTTGGTTTTTTTAATTCCATAGGTAATGGAAGTGTTCTATGCTATGTTGAAATAACGGTTTTTAACGTAATAAAAAAGTGATTTTTGTTTGAAAACATTAAAGTTAGATAAAAGGGATTTATTTAGGGTGAGTTTAATTTTTGTTTCCTGTAGTTTTGTGTTTAATATTATGTTTTTAAAGAATTTAAGGTTATAACCTCAAAATTGCAATATTTTAGCTATTTTAACAAATATTATTGACAAATTAAGGCTAATTATTGTTTTTTATGGTTACTTTTTGTTTTTTAAACGTGTTTTATTTGTTAAAAATTTAAAATTTTTAGTATGTTAACAAATTGTTATATTTGTTAAAAATAGGAAGTGTATACAGCCACGTCGGATGTGGATCAAGATACAAACTTAGGATTACAAAGAATGGAAATATCATGATCCATTACGTTTACTATCAGTCGACCTAAATGTGTAAAACTGCATTTTTTTTTAGTTTATTGTCATGACTTTGTTAAGAATAATATAATTCATAGACACATTAAGAGTGAATGCGTAATCAAAACATTAAAATGTCAACAAAAATGAACCAAAAATGACGTACTATAATTATAAATTAGATAATTCTAAATTAAAGTATAAATAATAGTATATTATTTATTAAGTTTAATAGCCATTTAAGTTACGAGTTTTATTAGGCACGAGCGAAGCTTGCGAGCGAGTGTTTCATAAAAACGAGTGACCAGAGAAGTTTATAAACGAGTTAGGTATTTGATTTAATTTTATTGGTTAAAAATGACATCTGACAACTGTCACTGGGATTTAACCTCATTTTTTACCAATTTATAATAAAGCCAACTTCCGCCCTTGACTTAAAAGCCCAAAAGCGACTGTTGCTAACTTCAGCCCATGACTAAAATGCTATAAAGTCTTAGGTTGTCAATGTAAGAGTAGATAATAGTTATTTATGTCATAAGGCTAAAAAGTGAGTCTTTTTGTGCCAAGTTTGAATGCCGAAAAAGTTGAAGATAGATTATTTTACTTATAATAACTTCATTAAATTTTATTGGTTTGCTTATTTTTTTTATAAAAAATGCAGTTTGCTTAATTTATAATTTTTTATTATACAATTAAACTTTAACCTTTGGTTAATATATTAAAATAAAAAAAATTGCAATAAATTGATTATTTATAATTAGGTATTGGCGTATTTTTAGAAAAAAAATATTTTTTAAATATTCATAAGTATTTAAAATTCTTAATTATAAACAAAAACATAATTAGGTAATACTTAAAATTAAATGTTTATTAACTTTTTATTTTGCATTCTACCAATTACCAATATCTTTTATATTCTTCATCGTCTTTATAAAAGCCATCACGCCACGTGACGTCACGTACAGAACCGTATTAAACAACATTTTATTTTAATTTTTACATTTTATACATTCTGCTTTTAAACGTTTCGTTTACTATTATACTGATTATGAAATTAAAAATAATAATTTTGACAAAATAATGATTTCCTAAAACTTTTTACTTATTGAGTGTTAATGCAAAAGGAAACAACGATTCTTAAATCACATACTCGGTGGGTGAATATATTGAGATGTGTATTGAAAATGATTATTTTTTATTTTTGGTTGTTTCACTGTTAGTCTAGAATTGGGGTTTTGGGAAGCCACCAGGTCTAGTAATAACATAACATAAGTGGTTCTGTACTAATGCAAGAAGTTTAATCATACAAGAAGTTTAATCATACATTTTGAATATTAGAGCTTCACGGAAGATATATTCACGGAGGTTAGGATTTCGTATGTTTTTTAAACATCCCTTTGTATATTTGAAATAAGTTATTGTAAATTTACATCTTAATATTTTAAAAAATAAAATTGTACATACATAAAAGATTTATAAAAAAAATCTACTTACTTACACTTCACGGTGGATAGGTTTTTAAATAGCAAATTAATGAACTTAAACTTTTGAATTATAAAACAGCAACACTCTCATCTGCATATAAATTTTAACCGACCTTCAGGAATCACATGCATCTATAATGTCGTAAACAGAGGTTTTTGCTTATTTAAAATGATTAAAGCGCCATCCGTTGCATAAAATTTAAAGCAAAAACAGATTCTCGGAGGATAGAATCAATTTTTGTAACACCTACATAAATGGTTTAAAAATTATTTCTTTTAATTTTTAGAAATATTTTAAATTTGATTCGATTGCTTAGGATGTGTTAAATTTACTTAGTGAACTGATATTTTTAGAATGCTTTTACTACCTCAGATATTTGAAAACATATAGGATAACCTAGAGAGAGTAACAGTCACGGAGGATAGGTTTTAGACTTTTAAAACATTAAATATCACGGGGTAACACCATTCGTGAGATACACCTATTTATAAAAGTATTTTATTGAAATATTTTGAGTACGGTACTGGCTGTTTACAGTACGTTAACATTATATTTCTCCCCACAACACAGCCAAACAAAGACGGCGATACCGGTAGAAAAGGACCGCCGATCGGTTGTCTTGGATGCATTTTGGCAGTTGCGCACAGTAAACTTATGAAAGAGCGCGGGTTGAGTTATAAATTAAAAATAGGGGTGTAGAATAATTCAAACGGAGATGCCAATCTCGGTGTGCCCGTGCAGTGTTTTGTTAACCAACAAAAAAGTTTTTAAAAGAGTGCTGTGATCGTCCAAAGACAATATGATTTTGGTGTTGGTCAGCAATGTTTTTCTGTTCTTCACAATGGAGACTATTTTGGAGTTCGGGATTTGTGTGGGATTTCTGTATTGGGCATTTCCGAACTTGTTTTCTGAAGGATTTTCGAGGTAATTGTTTATTCCATTGACGTGGTGATTCGGTGGCATATTTTGAATTCCAAATTATGTTGTGTCAGTATTTAGTTGAGTTACATGTAGTACTCCTATGTAATATATAATGTAATGTATGTATTTGGGACTCAACGATTTATTTTTGTATACAAATATAACCTATAACAAATATATGTGCATTCCTTAGTTTATATTTGTTTTGCAGTATATCCATAGACACCAAATTTAGGGTGGATAATTCTTTTAATTAAAAAGTCATCATATAGGGGTTCCATTCAATTTTTCTTTTAAATGTTCTATTGTAATAAAAGTGAATGCAATAATGTAAATGTATCATTGTGGTTATTTTAAGTTAGTTTTAGACCCATTTGAAATGCCATTACACCATCCTTTTTTAATAATAGCCAAATCAACGTCAATCATTTGAATTGTAAAATTATCAATGATAATTCAAAAATCGTTAAGTTTTTTAAAATAGTTCCTAACTAACAAACAGTTGAAGTGTTTGACAACAAATAAAAACATTTTAACGGATTTAAAAAAATATATGACACTTTTGAATAATAATGATAATAATAATTTTATTGTTTATTGAATTTAACTCCTCTAATAATTTATTAATTTGTATTATTTTTTTTTTCGTAAAACGCATAATATAAACGTCCCTATTTGCAACACATTGAATATACGAGGGGTGACTATAATGATCTTTAAAAATCACGAGAAAGTGAGGTTAGAATCGACATATGTATTTATAAATTTTGTTATTAATACAAAAAGCATAGTAATACACTGGAGTACAAAAAGCATAGTAATACACTGGATATAATGCGCATTATATTTCGTCTAATAAATTATTAATAATATGCTAATTAAAACGCTGCACTGTGTTATAAATAAACTAGAAACTGTTTTTAACCGAAATAAACGACATATATAAAAATAATTCAAAGCACAAATTAACAATGAAAGGAATCACATTAGTATTTATTTTAATTTTTGTTTTTTTTTTAATATTATTACCTATCTAACATTTTACTTCACAATATTTACTTAATCTACTTAACAAAATAACAACTAAAAAAACAAACACTTATTTTATTTCGTTAAAATGATAGAAAATATGTTTTGAACAATTAAAACATATTTAATTTACCCATTATGAAATTTAAACCAGTTTATGTCAGTAAACAAATTTGAAATGTAATATTTTATGATAACAACAATATAAAAACATTGAAACTAACAATAAAAAGTTAACCATTTTTCTTGCAAAACTTTAATAAATGTGAGTTAAGAAATGAACTTGCATTATTTTTAGTTAAGCATAAAAATTTTAAATTGTATAAACTTTACCTTGAAAAATTCAGAATTTGGTCAAGATAACTACAAGTCAAGAATATTTTTGACCCAAGGATTCCGCAGCGCTAATGTACTTCATTTTTTATGCGTGACAATAATAACAAATTGCGGGCACTTGATTTAAATTGATAACAAAGCCTTTAAAAAACCTAATAGGAACTCATCAGTAACAAAGAGAGTACTCAATAGCGTGCACCAGAAAAAATATGGAAAAATATTCCTAATTCGTTTCTAAAAAAACTGACGTGAAGTATCAGGAGAGCATGAAGTCACCTCACAGTGCATTTTTAACAACGCACAGTGGGATAAATTTAAAAATGTAGGACAAGTTCGCACAGTAGAATGAATTTAAAAAATGGTAGGACAACTTCGCACAAATTTTTAACCGCAATTAATTATTTTTTAAAATGTTTTAAAATCTAAAACCTATCCTCCGTGACTGTTACTCTTTCTAGGTTAACCTATAAGTTTTCAAATATCTGAGGTAGTAAAAGCATACTAAAAATATCAGTTCACTAAGTAAATTAAAAACATCCAAAGCAATCAAATCAAATATAAAATATTATTAAAAATTAAAAGAAATGATTTTTATAACAATTTATGTAGGTGTTACAAAAATTGATTCTATCCTCCGTGAATCTGTTTTTGCTTTAAATTTTATGCAACGGATGGCGCTTTAATCATTTTAAATAAGCAAAAACCTCTGTTTACCATATTATAGATGCATGTGATTTCTGAAGATCAGTTAGAATTTACATATATGCAGATGAGAGTGTTGCTGTTTTATAATTAAAAAGTTTAAGTTCATTAATTTGCTATTTAAAAACCTATCCACCGTGAAGTGTAATATCTCAGTAAGTAGATTTTTTTATAAATATTTTATGTTTATTTTATGTACAATTATTGTATTTTTAAAAAATAATAAGTTGTCAAAAGATACAATAACTTATTTCAAATATACAAAGGGATGTTTAAAAAAAACATACGAAATCCTAACCTCCGTGAAGCTATCTTCCGTGAAGCTCTAATATTCAAAATGTATGATTTCTTAAAATTCTTGCATTAGTGCAGAATTACTTATGTTATGTTATTACTAGACCTGGTGGCTTCCCAAAAACCCCATTGTAGACCAACAGTCAAACAACCAAAAATAAAAAATAATCATTTTCACTTGGGGGACATCTCAATATATTCACCCAGGTACATTTAAAACATCGTGGGACACATTTTTTAAATTTTTAAAATTATCAAATTTTAATAATTATTATATATTTGAAAAATTTAACACGGTAGTAGTATAAATAAATTTTTTTTTTTAATTTAAAAATTTTAAAATTAAAATGTAAGAACTTCTTAGGTTTTTTTTTAATTTTCTGAAAAATTAAGTAGTAAGAAGCATACCTATTTTTTACCTGAGTAATTTGAAATGCCCTCCTATAAATATTGTACGAAATTTGATTTAATAACCTGTATCTTGAAGAAGAAACAAAAAACCGAAATAAAGATCTAAACAAAAATAAAATTTGCGTTTTTTGACCTTTTTGAAAACCTATAAACAAACGGATAACACACACACACAGGCAAATGATTAACCTATGGCACTGACTGGCCAGTACTTATTGGAGATACGAAAACGAACTCATTTCGTGTTACTTACAATATTGTAATAATAATCTTCGTAATATTTATAATTTTTCCCTCATATCATAATCGGTCACAAATTTCAATTCCAAAGTCATTTCATTGCGATATAAAACACCGAAACGTTTACAACATCGATTTTACATAATCATTTATCGAGTACACTTTTTTTATTGTTTTATATTGTTTAAAAAATGTACAGCACGTGGGACACCCTCTACGGGTCGTTCCAGTTGTTCCTGGTACTGTTGTTTACCTATTTTGTTTTGTTTTTAAGGTGGTGAGTGACTTTATTTTTTTTTAATTTAAAAATAAAAATTGGAAAATAATATTTTTTTGTTGTTGTTTTAAGGGTAAACAAAATGGTGGATATAGTGACAAATCGTATGTTCGACACTTACAACAGATTTAGCCCCAGGGACAACAACCAAAATGATTCCTTATCTACGTTGTCAAATTTACGTAGATATTCCAGGGACCAAAAAATTAGAAAGCAAGTGAACAGAGAGGCTGAACAAAAGGTTGGTACTTTTCCAAAAACATTTTTAACAACCTGTAGTAAACATTGTATTGCAATTTTTTATTTTTTAAACATGTCTTTCTAGAATCTAATGTTGAGGAATTAGCAACTTCAAAATTAAAAACTAACGTAAAATGTTTTTTAAAAGAAAAAAATTTTTTCACTCAGGTCTGCAGTTGTCGATTTATAATTTTCTCAATTTAATAAATAACAAATAAATAAACGTTTATTGTGATAAAACATTTTTACACAAATAATTTTTATCAATAGTGCCTTAAAGTATGCTATGAATCATCCTGTGTCTACAATATGCACTTGGGTTCAAATATTTTCAAGGCTTAATTACCACTTTCTTTTTCATCCATATAAATTTATTTATTTACCATTAGGAATTTCCTGTAAACATTGGTTCTTAACCAGACATTAACAAAGATTTTGCTTATCAAAGACTAATCACGAAACGAAAGAATGGTGTTTAAAAAATTATGCGTACATTTTCCAAAGAATAGATTTTATATCGTTACAAGTTTTAAGGTAAATATTTACTTTTTGATTAAAGTTGCTAACAATGCTTTGAATTGTTTTGATTTATTATCCATTATTGTATGTACATTTTTTTGTGATTTTACATTACTTTAATAATTTCTACTTAAGAAAGGTATAATAAAAAAACACCATCTAATTATTTCAAAACAAAAAACTTTAATAATAATACAGACACCACACGCACGGTATATATAATTGTACACCATTCTGTTGCTGTTATTGGCAAATTATAGCCAATTCACGCTGAAATACAGTTAGAGGTACCTTATTAATTAGTGAAACTCTAAAACATTTATTTGTTATTTTTAGACTAGAGATGCACAGTTATTTGAAATCAAGGAAAACATCCCCGAGGTTGTTCAACAAAAACGACGACCTTTTATGGGGTTAAGTTGTCAGAACTGCACACTAAGCAGCAGAGTAAGTACTTTTTGAGACAATTTATTGATATAAATAATTATGGGTATTAATCGGTTGGTGCAAAAAGTATGGAAATTAATCACACCCTCAAAATTTGCTTGAAATGGCGTTTGCAAGAAATGCATTCTAATCAGATAATGCACAATAGTATGGATTTTAATCGGTTGGTGCATAAAAGTATGGAAATTAATCACACCCTTAAAATGCCTTTTTTTTTTACTTAAATGCAGTTTGCAATGATTTTCAAAAAATGTATTTTAATTAGATGCTGCATTATAGTATGGATTTTAATCGTTTGGTGAAAAAAAGCATGGAAACTAATCACACCCTCAAAATTGCTTGAAATGCCGTTTGCAATGATTTTCAAAAAATGTATTTTAATTAGATGCTGCATAATAGTATGGATTTTAATCGGTTGGTGCAAAAAAGTATGGAAATTAATCACACCCTCAAAATGCTTATTTTTGCCTAAAATGCCGTTTTCAATGATTTTTAAGAAATTATGGATTTTAATCAGGTACCTAGTGCATAATATAATGGATTTTAATCAATAATACCTATGCTAATGCGTCAGCAAGCTTGTTTAGATGTTTGCAATGATTTTCAAAAAATGTATTTTATTTAGATGATGCATAATAGTATGGATTTTAATCGGTTGGTGCAAAAAAGTATGGAAATTAATCAGACCCTCAAAATGCCTTTTTTACTTGAATTCAGTTTGCAATGATTTTCAAGAAATGTATTTTAATTAGATGCTGCATTATAGTATGGATTTTAATTGTTTGGTGCAAAATAGTATGGAAACTAATCACACCCTCAAAATTGCTTGAAATACCGTTTGCAATGATTTTCAAAAAATTTAGTTTAATTAGATGATGCATAATAGTATGGATTTTAATCGGTTAGTGCAAAAAAGTATGGAAATTAATCATACCCTAAAATTCTTATTTTTGCCTAAAATGCCGTTTTCAATGATTTTTAAGAAATTATGGATTTTAATCAGGTACCTAGTGCACAATAGTATGGATTTTAATCAATGATACATATCCTAATGCATTAGCAAGCTTGTTTAGTTGTTTTTTAATTTTTAAGTAAAAAAAACAAAACATATTTTTATTTATTTTTGGCGCTTTTTTTAAGTCGCCAGTGATAACCTTGCCGGCCCGCTCGGTTGGTCCAGTTTCTGTGTTTTTAATAGAAGACTGTCTTGCCTACACTACAAAAGTATTTTTAGTATAATTAACACAGCGATGCAATGGCGTGGTTTTTCGAGACGGGTAAATTATAACCTACAAAGAGGCTTTGCTTTTGTATTATTTTTTTGCTTGTTGCCACGTAGTCAGTAGGATAATTAAAATAATAAGGGGAATTATATTAACAAGTATGCTTGAGTGTGTAGTAAATGTTTTTTGAACTTTCTTATTTTACAGGTATTTAGTTTGAAATAATAAACATTTTTAATTTTTTTGGTTAACAGACGTATTAATTATGTTTATTTAAGAAAATTCATAGATTGTTACAAAAAAGTATGGAAAATAATCGTACCTACCTTCAAAATGCTTATTTTTGCTTGAAATTCACTTTTTTTAAGAAAAATATCGATTTTAATTAGTCTGTTTAAAATTATATGGATTTTAATCATGGTCTTCAAATGCTTATTTTGGCTTGAAATGCATTTTGCAATAATTTTTAAGGAAATATGGATTATGATCAATATCTGCCTATTTTTACCTAAACATTTGCAATATTTTTTTAAGTTATGGAGTTTTAAAACAAAACTATGGATTATAATGAACAATTTCATTAAATAAATGTTTTTAATTTACAGGATTTTAGTTTGAAATAATAAACATTTTAAAATTTTCTTGATGGTTAACAAGGTTAATTATGTTAATTTAGGAAAATCCATACATTGTTGCAAAAAAGTATGGGAAATAATCGTACCTACATTAAAACTGCTTATTTTGGCTTGAAATTCACTTTAAAAAAATATATAGATTTTAATTACTGTTTAAAATTATATGGATTTTATTCATTGTCTTGAAACGCTTATTTTGGCTTGAAATGCATTTTCCAATGATTTTTAAGAAAGTATGGATTTTGATCAATAAAATGATTATTTTTACCTAAAATAACATTTGCATTAACTTTTTAAGTTAGGGATTTTTAAAACAAAAATATGGATTATAATCAACAATTTCATTAAATAAATGTTTTTTTAACTTTTTTAATTTACAGGTATTTAGTTTGAAATAATAAACATTTTAAAATTTTCTTGATGGTTAACAAGGTTAATTATGTTAATTTAGGAAAATCCATATATTGTTGCAAAAAAGTATGGAAAATAATCGTACCTACATTTAAAATGCTTATTTTGGCTTAAAATTTACTTTTTTAAGAAAAATATAGATTTTAATTACTGTTTAAAATTATATGGATTTTATTCATTGTCTTGAAATGCTAATTTTGGCTTGAAATGCATTTTCCAATGATTTTTAAGAAAGTATGGATTTTGATCAATATCTACCCACTGGGTATGGATTTTAATCATACTCTTAAAATGCTAATTTTTACCTAAATAACATTTGCAGTGACTTTTAAAAGCTATGGATTTTTAACACAAAAGTATGGATTATAATTAAAATTATATGGATTTTAATCATTGAAATGAATTTTGCAACGATTTTTAAGAAAGTATGGATTTTGATCAATATCTACCTACCAAGTATGGATTTTAATCATACTCTTAAAATGCTTATTTTTCCCTAAAATAACATTTGCAGTGACTTTTTAAAGTTATGGATTTTTGTCACAAAAGTATGGATTGTAATCAAAATTTCATTTTAGGAATCACTGGTGAACAAAACGACGGAAACGTTGGCGCTGACAAACATCCTCAACTTCAGTCCGCCGCCGTGGCAAGACGGTTTACTCCAACGGAGTTTCTCGCATCTGACTAAAGTATACGCCCTGAAAAAGTTCGAGTATCCTCAGGTGGCCGACCTGGTTTTGCACAACGAGCGCCTGAAAGATGCCATCGAAAAAACGGCCGTTCAACAGTTCCAGGACTCGGACAATAGCGAGGACGAGTTCTATCAAAAGTTGCTAAAAGCTAACGAGAAAAGAGCCAGGAAGTTGCTGTATGATATGAGGTCCACTTTGTCGGATTTTTTGCTCAGGTAAGTGGATCTGAAATACACTCACGTGCAAAATAATCGATCCACACAAATTTACGATGAATTTCAATCACAAATAACTTTTTTATTTGATGTCGGATTTGAACGAATATTAAAGAATATTGTAGATAAATTTATGGACAATCCCTCACATTTTAAAAAAATACTAAAAAATACGTACGTTTATAATATACAGGTTTAAACAAAAACATGTTTTTTACTATAAGAGTGGCAAAACCGTATATTGTTCTAAATTAAGTTTTAAAATTTATCAAATCACATCTATTCTTAACAGTTTTGTTTTTGGTTCACCTCGATATATTTATTTTTGTGGAAAATATGGATTTTTTTAAAAAACATTGCAATTTCCAATATTTTTCTGTATGAAGAACTAAGGTTGCTATGGTCCATCCATAGGCTATGGAGTGACAGTGACAGTTTTGTTGAATCATCCCATACTTGGACATGTCATACACAGCTTTCAAAAGCTATCAAATTGTTTTTTGCAAATTAATGTTTAAATTTTGAGGTGTCTTCTTACTTTATAAAATGGATATATCTCCGACTGATGTTGCCAGAGCTATTAATTTAATCCAGGATGGACGGTCACAGTTTTACATGGCAAGTGTTTTAAACGTCATAAGAAGTAAAGTACAAAGGGCAACATCAGTCGAAGACATTTTTAAAAGTAAAAAGACACCTTAAAATTAACACATTAATTTACAAAAAACAATTTGATAGCTTTTGAAAGCTGTATATGACAGGTCCAAGATTCAACAAAACTGTGACTGTCATTCTCCATATGCTATGGTGGACCATAGCAACCTTAGTTCTTCATACAGGAAAAATATTGTAAATTGCAATGTTTTTAAAAAAAATCCATATTTTCGACAAAAATAAATATATCGAGGTCAACCAAAAACAAAACTGTTAAGAATAGATTTGACTTGATAAATAAAACTTAATTTAGAACAATATACGATTTTGCCACTCTACAGAGTGTCTTATACTTATGGAAAAAACATCTTTTTGTTTAAACCTGTATATTATAAACGTACGTCTATTTTTTAGTATTTGTTTAAAATGTGAGCGATTGTCCATTAATTTATCTACAATATTCTTTAATATTCGTTTAAATTCGACATCAAATAAAAAAGTTATTTGCGATTGAAATTCATCGAAAATTTGTGTGGATCGAATATTTTGCAAGTGAGTGTATTATCACGCAATTTTTCGCAGAAAGTTAAAGTTTTACTTCATTGCCAAGGCAGTGAAGCAGTTTTAAAGATAATACCAGAAGTGATTTTAAATTAATTTAATAAAAGCCCAATTTTTAGCAAAATTTTATTTATTGTTTTTTACAGTTAAGAAAAAAAATATATAATTTTTGCCTGATTGATTTGACAATTATAATTAAAATTAAGATAGTTTTTAATAGTTTTTACTACAACCTGGTTGAGATTCTCAACTTAAGAATCTTCCACTGATGTATTCAAAATTACTTCACCTTTTACATGCATCTTTTAGATTTACATCTTGGGTTCTCTACAAGCTGTTGCCATGTTTCCTTACATCTGTAGTAGCTCACCCGGGTCAGGTGGAGATGCTGAAAAAAGCTGGTGAATCCAACCTACCTCTAATATTTTTACCTTTGCACAAATCTCACCTTGACTATATTCTCATATCTTTCATCCTGCTGAACAACAACGTCAGATCGCCTCTGGTTGCCGCAGGAGACAACTTGAGGATACCGTTTTTCGGGTACGTAACCTCACTTTTATGCCCAATGTTTAAGGTGGCCAACTTTTAAAATGAAAAACACCAAAAAGTGAACCAAATTTATTTTATTTAATGTTTATTAGTTTTATTATTATTATTATTTAAAAAAATATGTGCTAATAACGTCAATAGTAAAAAAATATCCTGAAGGTAGGTTTTTAAATTAATTTTTAACCTGAGCCCCGACCACTTTTAAATCCTAAAAAGGTGGGACATTTAGAAGTACTTCCAAAGTTTTAAATTAATTTTAGACCTAAGCCCTAACCACTTTTAAAAAAAAATTAAAACAAATCCTAAAAGTGGTAAAAACTCCTAATTAAAAAAAATCAAACTAGGTTTTTTCTTACTTATTTACTCCTAAAAATTCAGATTTGTAAATTAATTTAATTTTTCAAAAAATAATAGAACAAATCCTAAAATGGTAAAAAAGTCATAATTTTTGTTTTAAACAAGGTTATTTCTTACTTTTTTACTCTTCTAAATGCACTTTCAAAGTTTTAGATTTATAAATTAATAGAACAAATCCTAAAAGTGGGAAAAACTCATAATTTAAAAATAAAATCAAATAATGTTTTTTCTTGCTTTTTTACTCCCAAAAATTCAGATTTGTAAATTAATTTAATTTTTCAAAAAATAATAGAACAAATCCTAAAAAAGTAATAAAAAGTCATAATTTTTGTCTTAAACAAGGTTATTTCTTACTTTTTTACTCTTCTAAGTTTTAGAATTATAAATTAATTTTTAAAATAAGCCTTGACCTCTTTAAAAAAAAATAGAACAAATCCTAAAAGTGGGAAAAACTCATAATTTAAAAATAAAATCAAACAAGGTTTTTTCTTACTTTTTTCAAGGTTCGACCGATATACGTATATCACCGATATATATCATGATATTTATAAAACTGTTACAATTAAATATTTAATAGCTTTTTTTAAAGGTGATCTATTATAACATTTAAAAAAAGTATATAATTTTCTTAATAGATGGCGCTACTATTGCTTTCAATTTAGAGTCTTTATTTAGAATGGTCTACAAAATTAATAAATATTTGTAGATTTTATTTAACACAAAATTTACAGTTAATAATTTAAAAATGTGACTTTTTAAAATTTAAAAATTGTTTAATTCGTTCGTGCGCATTGTCCATAGATCTATGGCATTGTCTAAAAGACGACCGTAGCGCTATCTATTGTCACAATTGTATACTGGCCGCGAAATCATAATTTTATTGTGTTAGTTTTATATTCTTAACCTATGAAAAAAGATATGATGATGAACCTTTAATTAATATTTTTTGTTAAAAATTTATTTTTTGTTTTATAATTTTTTTGTTTTTGTTTTACATAAATTTATTTTTATTAATTTTTGACCAAAAAAATAAATTTCAAGATGTTAATGTATATGTACATATATTGGATATTTTGATATTTATATAAATATCATGACTTTTTTACTCTTCTAAATGTAGGTAATTCCACAATCCACACAACAAGGTCTGTTCTATCTCGTACTAAAAATACAAAAAATCACTGCAACACTGCACAGTTTAACGGCGGCCATTTTTGTTGTTTACAATGTTTGTGCTTTGGGTTTGTGCTCTGTTTATACAGATTAATAATTGTTTTAAACGTTGTGTTTCTCATAGTAAGTCTTAAAAGAGTCCTTAAAGTGCTAAAAACAACCATTTTACTCCTCTATTGTAAAAAATAAACTTTATTCTATCAGGGCTGTCATAAAACTGTCAAATGTCAATTTTAAGGTCAAATTATAACCCACAAATTAACCTTCAAATTGTCATTTGACAGCCCTAATAGAATAAGGTATATTTATTATAAAAGAGGAGTAAAATGGTTGTCCTTAGCACTTAAAGGCCTTATTTGAGGCTTACAAGTGCCTCTGTAAGAAACACAACGTTTAAAACAATTATTAAACAGCACAAACCCAAAGCACAAGAATTGTAAACAACAAAAATGGCCGCCGTTAAACTCTGTGCAGTGTTGCAGTGATTTTTAGTATTTTTAGCATAAGATAGAACATACCTTGTTGTGTGGATTGTGGGTAAACCAGGAAATGTTGTCACATTTCTCGTCGTTTCAGGTCGTTACTAAGGGGTTTGGGTGCGTTCTTCATAAAACGCCGCATTGACCCCATACAGGGTCGTAAGGACCATGTTTACAAAGCCGTCTTGCATACGTATATGAATGAATGTCTCAGAGCGGGGCACAATATCGAATTTTTCCTGGAGGGTGGTAGAACGCGCACTGGAAAACCCTGCATGCCCAAATACGGGGTTTTGAGCGTGATTGTGGAAAGTTTTATGGACGGTACCATAGAAGATGCGTTGCTGGTGCCCGTCAGCGTAAACTACGAGAAATTGGTGGATGGGAATTTCGTCAGGGAGCAGATGGGACAACCCAAGGAAATGGAGACTTTCGGAAACGCCATCAAAGGCATTTGGCACGTTTTGAATTCGAACTACGGGTCTATGAGGATCGATTTCAACCAACCGTTTTCACTAAGGGTTAGCATTTTAGGGAGGCAATGTTTTTTAAGGTTTTTATTGTTACATTTGTCGCTAGGAGTTGGTGAAAACGTTCGATATGACCGGTAAAATTCCGAAATCCAATGTCAAAAAAGTGCTGCAATCGAATCCGTCCACCACAAGTCTGTATGGTACTGATGTCGTTTCTGATGAAAATAAATCGTTGGTGGAAAGTATATCAAAACATATCATATATGGTAGGTGCAGTTTTTTAGTGTTATAAGCTCTTTCCAAATACATTTTTAACATTAAATATAATTTTATTTTTAGACTGTGCTCAATCCACATCTGTTATGTCAACGAACGCAGTATCATTTTTACTTTTAAACAAATTCAGAGATGGCGTTACTTTGGACGACCTAGTCGAAGCTATGGATAAATTGAGAAACGAACTGAATTTGTGCAGAAGAGACGTCGGATTTAGCGGCGACTCTATTGACGTCATAAACTATGCCGTAAGTGAAAAAATATTATTTTAAAATAATTTTTGCATTATTGAGTTGGCAAAAAAAATGCAGAAGTCAATTTTTCTAAAAAGTGTACATATACTATCCGTAGAAAAAGTGAATTTCCGACGCTGATTATAATCATATTATATAATACCTTTTGACATAAGGTGTAACGGAAAAACCTTTAAAAAAATATTTTCCCAAAGATAAGGAAAAAATATGAATTAGAAGTTTTTTATATTTTTTGTGATATGCCACTGGTTACACACTTGTTCTGTGATACATAGATACCAACAATAAAGTAGCTGCGCGTTGCCAGTTGTAAAAAATTGTTACAAAAAATTTTTCTTGCAAAAAATAAATAAAAACTCAATAAATTCAAAACTGTTATGCCCTTAAAGCTCTAATACCCTTCTGTATTTATTTACTCATCCAGCTATTAGCTTAAGCAATAATTAGAAAATTTAGTACCTATTTTAAAAACTCGGTTTTTTTCTTTCTGTTTACATAGATAAAATTAGGACAAGTTCACAGGTTAAACTTTAAACATTCAATTTGTGTAAATAAATCCAAAAGCACTGTCCTTAGTTAAGATATTTACAATTTGAGCACATAACCTAAAATTTGAAAGAAATGCACTAGATTCTGTCATAAAAGTTGCCAGATTTTGTTTGAATTTACCTTCATTACAAAAATGACATAATAAACAATTAATAAAAACGACAAATTAACAATTTTCATTGTTGATTATGTCATTTTTGTAATTAAGCTAAATTTAAACAAAATTTGGCAACTTTTTTGACAGAATCTGGAAACGCTGGTTGTTACCAACCATAACATAATAAATCAAATTAGGCAGTTCCTATTCGATCAGTGGCGTACTTTTTGGTAGGATAAAGGTTATTATAAATTATTTTTAGTCTTTAGAATTTAGAGAAAAAAAGTTTCAGGTGCTTCTTTTAATATATTGCATTAATTACATAAAACCCTGTATGCACATGTATTGAAAAAAGAGAAAAATATAAAGATTATCGAAATTAAAACGGAAAACCTGAAAATTAGAGATGTAACGTTATTTTTCTTTAGTTTTTTTTCAGTTTTTTAACATTTAATGTTTTTTTACAAACTTTCTTTTATTAATCTAATCAAGCTTAATTTTGGCCTTGTTCCCTTTTTTCTTGAGAATATAATTTAGCAGTAAAATATAATTTGAAATTTTAACAAAAACTTGTAAACTTTTGAGTTGAGAAAAAAAGTAAATATATTTTTTGTAGGAAATTTAGTTTTCTACAAAATACGTCATAAGGCGAATCTCTAAAATTAAATTTTTTGGAGATATGCAAAATTATAGTCCTCAAAATTTTTTTTTTTTGATAAATATTTATCTACTCCTATTGCATAACATATTTTTTTCTTGTATATAATTCCATTAAAAATTCCCCGCCTAGCAAGGGGACTAATGAACTCATTATTCACGTTGTTAGGCATCAGTTATTGGTTAACCAACTGACAGATGTCAGATTTTATTCATTTATTTTTTTAAATCGTTTAAATTCGTCGGGTAAATTATTTCAATGTTACAAAAAATTCGTTTACATAAAATATAATTATTATTATGCCTAGACATAATTTTAAATAATTATTATTATTATTAGACAATAATAATAAAATAAATTAATAAAATAAATAATAATAAATTTTTCCTATCTGTTTTCATTAAATTTGAAATAAATTTATGCTTGACATAATTTTATTTAATTATTATTGTCAGACATGATTAAAGTTATAAAAAATTATAAATTCCATAATTTTAAAAAACCTACTTCAATTTTCTTTCACAATGTCAGAAACCATTTTAGTACCTACATTAAGAATGCGAATTTAGATTTAAAAACACATATTTATTATTTATTTATTCCTAAAAATGTAAAAAACACAACTTAAAAGCAGTGCACGATGTCTGGAAACCAATTTACCGATAAATTTGAAGTTTTATGTTGTTACTAATTACATGTATTGTATACAATAGCTGAAAATTTTATTTGGCGAAAATTTATATTTATTTATTAAGAATGTAGACACTTAAAAAACCCAATTTAGAATGTCAAAAAAACTTAAACTGTACAAATACATTTTAAAATGTAAATGTCAAGAAAGGTGTCTTTATATTTTCTAGATCGAAATCTTGGGCCCTGGCTTGGTGAGAAAAGAAAAACAAAACGATCAAATCACGATCAAGCCCAATGTAATGCTTCCAAATGTTATAGAACTGGCTTATTACAGCAACATCCTAGTAACACATTACGCTTTGGATTCCATTATAGGAATAGCAGCTGCTACGATAGTCAGTACCGACGATATTGTAGATTACGAGGAACTAATAGAAACAGTAAAAGACTTGTGCAACGTTTTACAGTACGAGTTTATATTTTGCAAACCGTGTCAGAGCTTGGAACAAATTATTATTGGTGAAATTGACGATTTAATAGTCAGAGATGAGATTTTCACGGTGGAAGAACCATATGGAAACTCGAGAAGCAAACAATTAATGCAGGACTTTGACAATGACGAAGACGAGGATGAAGCGCCTTCGAAAATATACAGGGTGAACAGGAAAAAAGAGGCACTGGAACATTTAAACTTCCAAAGAGGATTGGTTATGCCCATTCTTGAAGCTTACAGCGTTACGGCGTTTTGCTTGAAAAAACTCGACGATAGACAATTGCTGGAGGAAGAGTTGGTCAGGGATATTTTAGAAGAGATGAAGGCTCAGTTGGCTTCGGAATCTTTGACTTACGGTAAGCGATTTCACGATTCAAGAAATTTGGTTCAAATAGTTAAATTTTTTCTAACCTATACTTTTTATGGTTTTATTCAAGGCGTTTTGTAATATTAAACATTTCTGTGAAGTCAGAATTTCAATTGAGTTTACCGTTTTCGAGATATTTACAAAAAATATAAATTTTTATGACGTCACAAACCTCGCCATGTGACCAACATTCTAAGATTTCTATTGGTTGAAAATTACCCTGTTGTCAAGTTGTCTTGTTAATGATTTTATTCGGTTATGTCAGAAAATACCCGAAGAGGTTATGTACAAATACTGTCACTGTCAGTTGAGTGAAAGATGATCACCAAATTCACTAAGTACCTATCTTCCTTATTACGAGGTATCATCATTACTGTTTGATATTTTAGAGTCCAAGATTTATTTAAAAGAATATAAAGAACTAGGCATTATACTAATGAAATGCATTTACGACAAAATATGATTATAATTATAGGTACTTACTTTATTTGTTTAAAAGCTCCAATGTTCAATGTAACCAACCATTCCACAAGATTCCTCTGCTTTGGAGTCTGTTATTAATAAATCACTTATCTAATATCAATTACAAATAACATAACAATAACAATGATTTTCAATAATCTAAATTAAAAAAAAACATAACCCGAAAAAAAGAAACGTCAAAAAATCATCTCAACTAAAATTAAAGATCAAGTGGTTTTAAAACTAAAATATTATAACGTGGCGCCATCTATCGTAAGAATCTTAAACTAAACACACTGGCAACCATAGAAAAAGCTGGCAACGTTGTCAATAGCCTAGTGACGTAATTAGAAGTTTTTTTTTGTAAATATCTCGAAAACGGTAAACTCAATTGAAATTCCTATTTCACAGAAATGTTTAAAATTACAAAACGCCTTGAATAAAGCCATAAAAAGTATAGGTCAGAAAAAATTTAACTACCCCATTCAATCTTTTTTTAGATGAAAGTGTGTCGGTGGATTCGGTCAAGAATGCTCTGAAGCTGTACCAAAAATGGAACATCCTGGATTGTTACTCGGAGAAGAAAGTGAGGTTATACTACCTGAAAGATTCGAATGGCGACACAGAATCGATAAAGAATCTCTACCAAAGAGTAAATCGATATTTACACACAGCATTGTGAGAAGCCAAAAGATTTTTGTATAGTGAAATTTAGGTATTTTTTATTTTTTAAGTTTGTTATAAAAAAAGAAAATAAATTATTTATGTTTTTATAGTTTAAATTCTATGTGCCTTACACGGATTCCAGATTTTTTTATTAAGGATATAAATTATCTGCATTAAAATAGTCTTTTAAACTATGTTAAACTGTGATAATTACCTAGACTAAAGTTTATCACAATTTTTTACTCCTATGTATATAAAATAAATGAATTATCTTAAGTTAAAATTTGTTTTATTTATAAAATATATTAAAAAATTAAAAATTGCCTACAAGGTATAACTTTCAACAGCTTTTAAAATTTCCTCTGGATTTGGCTTTAGAGCTGTCTTGCACAGTTTTATTTCAGTTTTTAAGATTTCAGCTTCAGTTACAGGTCCCACAGCAACATACTAAAATATAAAAAAATACCGAAAAATGAAGTAAATAAAAACATGGTATGCAGGGTTTGTTTAAAATCTCAAAATTTAATTTTGGAACCTATTTTAAGTAAATTACTAAACTTAAAAAAAGAATAAATAAAAATAGTAGGATGTCTTTTTTGAAATATTTCGAATAGTTCAATAAATTATGCCCTTTTTATAAATGACAAATATATATTTGTCTATTTAAAACTAATTGGTGATTATCTCTGGAACTTTTTTATGGGAACTTAAATTTAATAAAATATTTCAAAAAATTTAATTTTACTAATAAAATAAATAATTTAATATATGTATATATGTATACTGCGCGTTAAAATTAACGCATAATAAGTAAAAAACGTTACGAATTTTTGTATAAAAATACTTCAACTTACATGTTTTCAGTTTACATGTTTGAGGGTTTTTTAAGAAAACATTTTTAAAGCCCTTTTATTTAATAATAAAAAAACGTTCCAAAAATAACTTAGAGAATTTTTTTAGTAAATAAAAAATATGCTGTACTTTTGTTAGTATACCCTGAACATTTTGCAAAATAATCAAACGAACTGTAACGAAGATACAGCGCGTCGGTAAAAATGACCCATTTTTGATATTTTGCTGAAAAGTGGTCATTTTTGCCGTTTTTTTAGCGTTTTTTATTATTAAATAAAAGGGCTATTTTCTCGAAAAACCCTTGAACTGAGTTATAAGTTAAAGTATTTTTATCAAAAATTTTACAAAGATTGGTAAAGGCGTTTTAGAGTTGGATTTTTTTACTTAATTGTTACGCGTTAATTTTGACGGGCAGTCCCAGATAGCACAAGATGTCCTGAGGACATCCGGTTTAAATCCTTTACAGACGGTCGCGACCAGAAAACCGATGGACGTACTGAGGCCTAGGCCGATGGACATCCTGAGGCCTAGGCCTCAGTACGTCCATCGGTTTTCTGCCTGCGACGAAAGTTGAAGATACAATTTGATATCACCCTTTATAAAGGGTCTAAGTGAAAAAAAATTACAACTTGTTTTTAATTAAAATACTCTTTAATCAAGCACGATAAAAGATTTTAAAAAAAGTTGTCCATTTTTTTTACTTATATAATTATAATTACGGCCCGCGTTATGTTACCCCCGGTACCGTTTAGCCATGGTCTAACCGAAGTCGGCCAGAATACGGCATGCCGATGCAAAATCCTTCGGCTTGCCCTAGCCGGCCCGCTTACGGCTGGAATTCGGCCTGCCGCGGCATAATCGATACATCTCACGGCTGCTTACGCACGCGAGCTAACTATAAATAGCGATTGGTTGCAATATTTAGTTGGAAGTGTGTGTCCGTAATGGCATAGCTGAACATGAATTGTTTGGAGTCCCCATCTCCATCCTCATCTACTCAGTAACGAATAATGTCTAGCTAGGCGAGTGTGTTAAAAAAGTATCTTGCGATTCAGAGAATTTCAGGACTGAACTTATAGGATATACCTCTCCAGGACGTCTGTAAACTTTTTTATTATAATAAAACTATGTCCTAATTCGGTCCTCATATGTCCCGAATTGGACAGCTTGGGGTCAAATACGGACGTCCTGAGGACATCTGAAACAGTCTATTTCGGAAGTCTGTGGACGTACTACGAACGTACTTTTGCAGACCCCGGACATCCTGAGGACGTTCGGGTTGTCCTGGGTGGAAGTCCTACGAACGTCCTACGAACGTACTTGTGCTATCTGGGGTGTATATAAAATTTCCAACTTTTTACTTTTAAAATAGGTTTTGTTAAAAAAAATTACAATTTTAAGATAAAATAGCAATTTTCTCTGAACTGCAATATTTATGGACCTTTTTGGTAGACAATATAATTTACCAACTTTTTTTAACTTACAATACTCAATTGTATTAAAAAAAATGACAATTTTATAATAAAATCACGATTATCTGCGAAATTACAATATTTACGTCAAAATATTTTGTAAACAATTTCCAACAGATGGCATAAACAAATTATTTTGTAAACAATTAAATTTCCAAGTGAATTTGGTATGCCTATATCCTATAGGATGTTGAACAAAAAATTTTTTTCTGTACAAAATTTGTTTTCAAAAAGCAAATATTTGACCAACTCTAATGTACATGTCTTAATTTCGTAAATTTTGGAAAATTGTATAATAATATAATTGACAAGGTAACTAAATGTTATCTATTATTATATAATAAATTAAAGCATATGCATGAAAAACAATATTTTTTTAAATCTAAACCCAATTTTTAAGATGAGGAAGAGATTGAAAAGGTATATTTTTGGGTAACTACACAGAATGCTACTTATTTTTTATTTTATTCTCAAGTCAATAAAGTAATAAAGCTTTAATAAATTTAAAATAAGAAGTTACTGGAATAATTTGAATCTTAACTTGTGAAGTAAATGTTTTTATGTACCCACTTACCTTAATATCCAAAAATTCAGGTATTTTTCTTAAAAATTCAATAGAACTTTTTAAACCAGAAGGACTAAACAACACAACATACTCTGGTGCTTTAGTATAATTTTCTGTAGCTTTGATAAGCTCTTTTTCAATATCCAAATTTGTTATTGTATCATAGACTTCAATATTATAAATTCCAATTTTTTTTTGTCCCAAGTCCTTTTCTAGAGTACCAGTCTTTAGATTTCCATGAGGAAATAGTAAAGGTTTACCATTTAAGAGATCTACATCTACAAGTTTTTTTAGTAAAATACAAATTTATATAAAAAAGAAAATAAATCTTAAACTACCTAAAATAATTTCCTTTGCTAAATTACTTGCATTCCCTGTCTCTTTACCCTTACAAACCAAACCCAACTTCTCCAAAACATAATCGTAAGTTTTCTCACCCACAACATAATTACTATTGTTTCTCCATTCCTCCTTAATTCTTTCATTACATAACGATTTATGTACAGCTTCCACACACCTGGGACTGGAAAAAATTAATCCGGAAAAGTCGTCGGGGTTTTTAAGTAATACACTTAAAACGTTCAAATTTCTGAATTTAAAGTCCAATGTTTTAACAAGTCTAACCTTAAAATCGTTTTTGGTGAAAATGTCAACGTATTTATCCGTTGCGTCTTCCGTGGCTGTTTTTAGTAGTAAAACAAGGTTCTTTATTAACATTTTTACTATTTTCTAATCTAAAATGTGTCAAATTAACGCCTAATCATATTGAAACGTAAACACAACTAGTTATTTTTGTTTTACTACGTTGGTAATGAAGTTAAGTTGGCAATGGTTAGAAAGTTTAAAAGTTGGCGCCAATCAAAGTTGAAAAACAGTTAAAATAAAAAATTAACGTCATTTATCATAAAAAATGTACAGAAGTCAGGGGCACTGCGTTTCTGGTCCTCCAGCTGCAAGATTATCGGCGACAGCCTTGTGGATGTACGGTTTGTTTCAATCTGTGCTTTATGTATCGGTTCCTCTTTTCGTTATTTACAAAATTCCCGCCATGAGGAGATACAAGGATGGGACTGGTGACGATGACGGAGGAGATATGGGAGGCGGCTCTGATGGAGGATCCGGTGGTGGAGCAACTTTGGATAAGGAAAAGTGCGATTGAAGTTTTGTATTTGGTTTTTTTGTTAAGTAAAAACGGCGCTGTCGTGGGGAAAGTTTTAGAAATATATTATTTTACATGTAGGAATCTGTAATTTATCGCTGGGTGGCTATTATAGACACAGATGGCGCTACTGGTTTATAAATAAAAATGTTTTATTTTTAAATAGTAATTTTTATATACTTATAATATTAATATTGGTATTTACCTATTGCGTAGTATGAATATTATTACCCTTGTATTCTAATATAAGGCCCTCAATTAAAATCTCAAATCATCTTGGATTCTGGTAATTACCGGACATTAGGCATCACTGCACAGAACACTGGTTTATTATCAGTCCTGCCAACAAAATGTTACAAAATATTTGGGTATAACCTAACTTTTACAATTCGCGTAAAATGTGAATTTATTGTTAATTTGTTTGAATGCGTGTTATTAAAGTGCCAAAGGTGTATTTTATCGTTTTGAAATAAGATGTTTCATGTATCAAAGTGAACTATTTATGCAGTTAGTGTTTGTTTACAAACATTGAATTTGGCTTTTTAATTCATTACTTATGTTGGTGTGAACTTTTATTTTTTTGCGAGGAGAAGGTTTTTCATATTCACTACCATGGAGCCTACACTAGGCTCCTTGTTCACAACACCTAACCTTATTTCCGGTTATCACTATGTCATTTTGACAGCAAAATAAAAAATGTTCATTATTGTTTCTTTGCTATTTATAAAACTCAGGTGTTTTAAATTTAGAACCAAAGCTTGTTCAGGACCATACCTATAGTCAAACAAAGCCACATTGTGATAAGGTAAGTAGGTATACCTAAATCTATTCATTTTGAAGATATATGGTTGGGTTTTATGTAAAAACCTGTATATTTTGATTATACACACAAGAAGGAAAAATACCACAAGTTTGCTAATTTAAACGACTTCTACCATTGTAGTTCCAATAATAACAAAGTATGCTAAGGCTATGCTAAAAAGCTTTAGGTCAGGGATTCCCAGGGATTTATTAAAATACCAAATATTTAAAATGGTATAAAATCTGTAATATTTGGATTTTATAAATAAAATTTTAAGTTTTTCGATAAATTATAGTAGATTATAAATTGCTCCACTAATTTAAATTATCTAAAATAGGCCACCAGGCCACTGGAGTGAATATATCCACGTATATATAAGACTTATATCAACTTATATATAATTATATAGTCTTAAGACTTTAAATAGATGACTTTTTCTTAAAATGTTTTACCACAAATGCTCCACTTATAATCTCTTAACGCCCCCTAGGCATACCTAGGCATAAAAATGCATATTTATTTTTTGTTTAAATTGCGCTATATACGGTATATAATATACCTACCATTTTAGAATTAAGGTACAGTGTTTACTACACAGACCTGTGGTTTACTAGAAAAAAAGAGACCTAAATAATTTAAGGAACATAATGTACTATAACTGTGCATAATTTTTTATTAATTTGTATACTTAGAATGGGGTGTTTCTAAAACAAATTAATTCTTTTTTTTTAGATATGGATGATAATATATTTTTTAGGTATGCATGATAAGGTAAGGTGCTTGTATTAGATTAATAAAAAATTAATTATTTAATTAAAATTAATCAAGGTTCTTTATAGTGAAAATATCATTTGTTAGAGTATATAAAACATGGATGTTTTAGTGGCTCAACAATCATATGTGGATACAGTGAATGTTTTTTTCTCCGGACCAGACGTAACCCAATACATAAGTTTTGGGTTCATATGAACAAATATCATCAGCAAAAACCAACTAATATAAATAAGGTTTTATTTTCGTTTTCCACAAAAACTATATATTGTGTGTACTGTGACTATAGAACTCCTTATAAACAATCATTAAAAAGACATGTATTTGCAAAACATTAAGAACAAAATGAGTTAAAAAATAAAGTATATATACAGATAAAAATTTACTCTTGTGTTAATTGCGAGGTTAATTGTGACTACACTGTTATAAAAATCCGATTTGTTAACATGAGTTTGTTAGTTTTATTTTGTAAAAATTTAACATACATTTTTGTAGAAAACCTGGGTTTGTAATTATTTTAACAAAGGAAAATATTTTACCGAAAATTTTGTAAGCATTTTGTTAATTTCAAAGTTACACGTTATTTTGCATATTTAGTAGAGGTTTTGGTATTAATTTTAAATTAATACCAAAACCTCTACTATATAAATTAATAATGTAACCCTAAATTTGGATTTGTTCTTATAAGTGATGTTCAAAAAGTGAAGTGCAAGTGCAAAGTTATTTGGAGGTTATCAGCATTTTGAAATGCTTTTATTTAAAAACATAAAATGCCCACTCGTACAGCCAATTTATAAGTAATTGCAAGATTATTGTTTACCATTATGGTAAACCGATCGGTCAAATTACTGAAGTGAGGTGACAAATTCGTGAAATTACACATGTTAATTAAACTTTCTGTGGTGAGTTTGGTGAGGAAGCACAACTATACAGTCCACTGCACAGCAAATGTAAGTATTTGCTTTCGAGAACCACTTTAAAAACTAGTCATTTTTGACTAATTTATTTTTAGAGGATAGGTACTTTTCAATATAAATAAATATTATGAAGAGTTACTGGTATGGTAAAAAACGGCAATGTGGAATAAAAAACAAATTGAAAATTAAAATGGTTTGGCGGTACTAAATCTTCAAATGTATAAAAAATGTTTGGTTATTATACAAAACAGTTTTTCGTTATTATCTCAAAATCACGTTTTTGGAGTCATATAATTTTACCACTCCCGATTGAAATAACACAAGAAAATGTTTTTTTCATGATTTCCTTCTACAACATACAAAAATTAAAGTTTCTATATTTATACTTTCACATTTTTTTAGGAAATTCTATTACTTACCTACATACAACGGGTAGTTTATTTATTATTCTACAGATTGGAAGCTAGATGGAGTTACCTAAATATTTACAGTTAATTTATTGCAACAAAAATGTTTGATTAACTTTTAGATTTTTCAATGTAATACAGTAATACCTACTTATTAAAATTGTCTCTTTAGTTGTAAAATTAAAACATTGTTTAATATATAAAATGCAAAACAATTTTTTATTACAAATATTTAAACTTATCGTTTATATATAAAAATGTGTTAGGCTAAGGTAATAAAGTTTTTCTTGTATACAGAATATATTGGTTTTATTTGTATTATTATATAAATAAAAAGAAAATTGAAATGCAAAAAATAAAAACTTTTTTTTTAGTTTCAGTACGATGTGCAAATACAGCAAATGTTTTTTTCTTGGATCAGAATACGAAGTAAAGCAACATATGGACAAAGACCATACATCAAGCATACATTGTATGTACTGTGACTATAAAACAAAGAAGAATAGTAATTTACAAAAGCACATTGCTAGGAAACATAGAGAACAAAAAACTCACAATTGTGTGTACTGTGACTATATCACCCCTTATAAACAATCATTAAAAAAGCATATATTTTTAAAACATAAGAGACAAAATGAGTTCGAAAAGAAAGTACCGATACAAATAAAAACTTACTCTTGTGTGTACTGTGACTATACCACATTGGACAACCGTCCGTTGCTTAACCACATCCGTATTAAACATAAGCTACAAAATGAGTTGAAAAAAAAAGTAGCAATAAAAGTAAAAGCTTTTACTTGTGTGTACTGTGACTATACCACATCTTATAAACAGGCATTACACAGGCATATATTTTCAAAACATAAAGAACAAAATGAGTTGGAAAAAAAAGTAACGATACAAATAAAAACTCACTCTTGTGTGTACTGTGACTATAGCAGTACTTCTGAAAAATCTTTGAAAACCCATATATTTTCAAAACATAAGGAAAAAATTAAATATTGAGTAAGAACTAAACTAAAAACGTACTCTTGTGTGTTACACAAATAATATGTTAATTCGTTTATCACCTGATAAAATAGGGTAAATTATGATTTGTTCTTTTTCACTTAATAGAAAAAACCTTTTAGGTATGGCATAATAAGTAGTAAGTTTAGTTAAGTAAAATGTTTTACATTTTTTATTTTATATACATAAATTAAAATTTTTAATTTAAAATAAATAAAGTTTTGTCACTTTTCTATTGTTTTTTATTTTCTTTAAAAAAGTTCTTCATTGAAAATGGTTTATCTGAAAATTGGTTTGTCGTTTATTGGTTTTAAGATTTTTTTGTACCATCATAATTAAAATTATTTTTACACCAAAACATAAATACGAGTAAAAGACTAAAAATTCTTTTTTTATTATTATAATTTTATTCATTAAATTTATTTTTTAATTTTATCAAAAAACAGTTTTAGGTGTAAACAGATTTTTATCACAATTTTAATTTTAACATTTATCGTTAAGTAACGTTTATACTGCCAAATATTTTAAGCTATCGTTTATATGTAAGATTCAGTAATAAAGTTTTTTTGTACGAAATATTTTAGTTCTATTTGTATTAATATATAAATAAAATAGAAAATAAAATGCAAAAAATAAAAACTTTTTTTTAGTTTTAGTGAGACGACATGCAAATACCCCAAATGTTTTTTCCTTGGATCAGAATACAAAGTAAAGCAACATATGGTCAT